CTTCCCATTTTTCGGGAACAGTAGGATTATCCGTGAATAACTGACGATCGGGGCGAGCAACCAGCCTCAAGTACCCGGTAGTCTAGTAGGGCTGATAGTTGTAGTGATATAAAAACATATCAACATTAGGGGGAATCTTCAGATCATGACACCGGATGATGAAGCCGGTCAAGATTCGGTAGGTGCTGGGCACACGACATAAAGAGACTTGGCAAGAGAGTCGTTAAAATGCTTGCCCCGAGGGTCCTGATCAATCAATTTCACTCCTTCCGTACGACGAAGATCACCTCGGGGGAATTGCTCAACATAGGCCCCAAAAATTTCTGGGAGCTGTTGTCGGGCATACTCCTCCTTGATGGCGGCGAATTCACCAGAAGATTTGAACGCCTCCCGAACGGCGGACAGATCCACATTCACCTCAGTAGGACCGTCCGGGATGCGAGGGGGCGTCTCTTCGAACTTAACCTGAGCGGCCTCAGCAGCAAAGACTTTATCCTGTGAAACGACATGCTGAACACGAAGCCCCCCAGCTCATTCTCAAGCCTCTGCTTCTCTTCAGCAAAGGCTTTCCGTTCGGCCTCAAGGGTTGCAAGGGCGGCAGCGACACCCTGCTTGGCAGAAGTTTGGGCGATGATCAGTTCCCGTTCCTTGGCCAAGCGGGCCTCCCGCAGCTGTAAGGTGTACAAACCCATCTACAGGTCGTTCAAAAGTAAAAAATGAGATGAGAAATACGTAAATAATGTATGAAACAAAGAGGAGGATGGGAGCCAAGTACCTTCAGGGCCGTTAAAGCAACACATTCCTCTGTCCGATCGACCGGGAGAGTAGGCAAAGGAAAATTGTTGAAGAAGGCGGAAGTAGTCTAGATCTGGCTCGCAGAGGAGCCGACCTTCTCTAAGGTCTCGTGGACCGGATCTTCCCGAGAGATCCGTCTTATCTGTCCAGCAACATCAGCAGCAGTAGCCTGACTGACCCCATGCTCACATTTTGAGCAGCCTGGAATGCATCAGAAAGATGTTGCAGCAGTTCTGACCCGAGCGGGTTATCTATCAACATATCATCATCCAAGACCTGTTCAAGCGAAACATGCTGGATGGGCTGAGCGACCTGAGCAGGTTGGGGCTGATCAGTGTTCCGAGGAGCAGCAGTGGAAGATTTGGGATGGCTATTCTTCTTAGCCTTCTTCCTCTTTCCTACTCCACCAGCAGGAAGCACACGACTATCATCCATGGGAGCGTCTGGGTTGGGAACTGAAAAAATAACAAAGTTGAAAGTTAGTACCGAGCGGTCTTGTCACGTGGGAAACTAACGAGGGACGTTTCTCACACGGGAAGGACCGCCCGGCCCATGGCACATAGTTTTCAGTCAAGTAAACCTAGGAATATGGGTAGTACCTATCCCTGTTTTGACAAGCTAATCAGGAGTCAGGTACTCCATAATGTTGCAGGTCTTGCCCTCCTCCACCGCAAAACATCCTTGCAAATCTTCTCGGTAAGAAACGGATCTGAAGATTTACGAGGGAAGGCATTCCACCTGTTCGGGATGGAAATGAAGAAAAACCTATCTTTCCACCCCTTGATTGAAGTTAGGTTGCCCTTAAATAATATATGTCCCGTTCAGGCAGTTGCAGCCAAGTACCCATGGGCCTGCTGAGGGGCACCTTGAATAATTGATGGAAAAGTTTCAGACTGGGCGTAACCTTGGCATCCACACAACGGCAAATGAAGTCGGCCATCACCCGATAGGAGTTCGGCATGATTTGGGCCAACACTACCTCATAGAATTTGAATAAGGACACAAAAAATGGGTGCAAGGGAAACCTAAGTCCAGCTTTCACTGAGTCTAAATGGACCACCACCATCCCAGGGAGATGGCGCATTGGATGAAGCCCAGCCCGAAGACGGAAATCTACCGGGTCCAAAATTAGGGTTGGAATTTGAGCCCTATTGTGAGAAGTCCGTTTCTGCCTCCTCTCCCTGATTAATCTTAAATCAACCTTATAACGAGGGACATCGCCTGGGGGACCAGCCGCCATTGAGGCAATTTCATCACCGGACATCGTGCCATCAGATTCCTCGCCAGAAGAAGTAGAGTCGCTTGAGGAATCTTCATCAACCGTAGTCGCATTACCGACGACATCAACAAAGGGGACCGCTATAGCGTCCTGTGCAACGGAGTCATGAATTTCCCCTTGAGAGGCGGACTCCGAATCCGAGCCGGAAGAATGTGATCGATAAGGCATGTTGACCGTACACGAAATGAAGAAAGCAAGAGGAAGGGGCAGAGTGTACCTGAACGGACGAAGCTTGAAGAGTCCTAGAGAGAAGGCAGAGCAAGAGCACGAAGGATCTGAAAATTCGAAACCCAGAACTGGAGAACCAAAGGCCTATTTATAGCCTAACACACACCAATTCATTGACCAACCAGAAGGAGACACGTCACCAGTAGCGGTTGAGAAGACACGTGTCACGCGGAGGAACAAAGGCCAGTAATCATGACGATTACGGGGAAAATCAAACAACAGCCACAATAAGCTACTAACTCATGACATTGGGAACCAATGAGATCTAGTTCCTGATCGATACCCGGCATAAAAGTTTTACTTCCTTATGCACTCACTACCGTTCGAGACATCAGAAGTGGGGGACTCGTGTTGGGATATTGGGCCGAAGGCCCAATACCCGGCCCAAAGACCACTAGGGAGAACGGGCCCAGGAAGAGCTTTATCGAGCCCAAGAAGATATTTAACCCGAGCGGGAAACGAGGGTCCACAAGAGTTCACCCGCGTCTCGAACGAGGAACGACTCACATGATATACTTGCGGCAGATTGACGGGACACCAGACAGAACCGCCATTCCGCTGTCCGAACGGGCAGCCTGCAAGTAGTGGAGAGCAAACCCGACCCTACCCGATTGACCCGATCGGATATATCCGATTTTTTTGTTGGGGTCAGAAAACCCGACCTGAAATACCCAAACCCGATTCGTTTCTTGCAACCCGAGACTTAAGCGTGTAGCGGGTAGGGTTACCAATTATGCTACCCGACCCGTCCGAAAAATCGAACTAGCGTAGTATATATACTACTTTGAATTATTATTCATGTTCAAATATCTCAATTATTGTATGACAATTACCATATTATGCATGTTCAAATATTCCAATTAACGTATTTGTACAACTATAACTTTGAATGTTGTATTGTTATGATTTTGAATGATATTTTGACCAATTATCATTTTATTTATCACAACATCAAATATGTCAATCACCATATATTATTATTTTACATACTCAAATATGTCGATTACCGTATTTATACAACTATTACTTTGAATGTTATACTAGTATAACTTTGAATGATATTTATACCAATTACCATTTTATTTATCACAATTTCAACAATAATAAATTAAAATCCGAATGGACCTGAAAACCGAATCAACCCGACCGCAACCCGAACTTCTTCAACCCATAAAGCCCGATAAAATTTTTGATAGGATAGGGTTTGAAATTATCAATCCGATACCTGAACGGGTTCACCATTTTTTAACCCGGCATGTGCTCTGCCCTACCTGCAAGTGGCAAGGTGCATTAAATGCTAGAGTATGTCGTCAACAAGTGGAAGCATGGGTGTTCAAGCGGTTGGATTAACAACCAGTCAAATTCAGCCACGTCATCACCCCACCTACCCCATTTTTAGTATAAATATGGATATTCATTATATTGTAACGGGTTGGCATTTTGATACTCAAAGCCTAGAATAGTTTTCTCACTTTTGTTCTTGTATTAATCATTGTTCCGACGTGCCGTTCGGGAAGTTTCCTGTGTAATCAGCGAATTACTCAATACAAGTGGGCTTTTGATCACAATATTATTCAGCTTTTATATTTTCTTTTACCCTCGACCTATTTTCCACATCCTTAATATCCAAAGCGTGTGTTGGGCTTTCGGATACGCGAGACTAACCTCAACAAGTATATATATGGAGGCTCAATGACTCCCTTATATAATCATATGAGGTATTACTCCCTCCGTCTCCCTGTTATTGTCCCATTGCGGTTTACGATGCTTGACCGACAATAAAGCAAACAGATCCCTGTCCGCACTCAAATTATTTTTAGGAAAAAAAATTACATATATAGAAACTACATCAAAAGATTTACAAAGTCGCAAAAATCAGAATCAAATTTGATAAAAATTTGATACATAAAGTAAGAGATTAAGAGTGATTTGTGTTGACCAAGTGAATAGGAAATGGGACAATAATAGGGAGGCGAAGGGAGTAGTATTTAGTAACACTAGGGATGGACCCGGGCCGATCCGGTTCCGATTCCAGGTCGGGCCCGGGCGGGCTTATTTTTGCAAAATGTTGGGCCCAGAACCGGCCCGGGTTGATATCGAGTCCGGGCCTAACCAGGCCGGGTCGGGCCAGGACCGGATCAAGTTCAATTTTTTTTTTGGTTTCTAATTAACACCCGACCCCCCCGATCCCTTCACCCCCACCCCCCAAAACACCCAACCCTAACCTAGAAAAGCAAAAAAATTGAAACAAAAAAATTGAACCGGGCCCGGCCCGAACCGCCCGGTCCGATTCACCAAAAGGTGGGCCTGAGCCCGACCCGCCCGGCCCACCCAAACGGGCTAAAAGCCCAAAACCGGACAACCGGTCCCGGTCCGGTCCGAGCCCAAACAGTAACGGGCCGGGCCGGTTCCGGGTCGGGTCGGTTTAGTCCATCCCTAAGTAACACCATCATCACCACCCACATTTTTAGTGAGAACACTAACTGAAAATATGAGTAGTGATGATTCCTTTATAAAATAAATATGGACCAATTTCAAATCAGAACAGAATAGATCAAATTATACTTAAAAAATTAAGTCAGACCAGATATAGACAACTATAAAATATCAACAATTATAAAATACACCTAGACATTTAGCAATTAGACTAAATCAAATTTAAATGGATCAAATAAAATGAGATCTCACAATCAGATGACACCTCACTATTCTTAAACGAATCAATTCCCAACCTAGAAGATCAATTTTGATATCTTTACAAGACAATACTGCTAGTTCTAAGGTCTACGCTATTACTGTCGTGAGGGCTGATACAGGGAGAGAGGGAGAGAGAGGGGAGCAAGGCCATGGGAGGTTTATTATCGGCTTTGACGGGTGAAGCGGAGGCGGAGGCACCCACCGCCGAGTCATCATCACCTTCCAGAGTGATTGTTTTTAATTTATCGCACGAGTGGAAGCAACACTTCAACGCCACCAAAGAACTCAATAAATTGGTATTTCTCCTCATCCATCCCTGTAGATAGATCCAAATTCTAACCTCGAACATTGATTGGACATTCCGATTCAGATTTCTTCTTATATCTACACAGTGGTCCCGAATATAAGATCTCCATAGTTGAACTGCAAAAGTTTGGACAATTAGTTCTAATTTACATTATTTGTATGTATGCATAGATGGTGGTGGATTTCACAGCGTCCTGGTGTGGTCCCTGCAAGTTTATGGAGCCGTTCATCATTTCCATGGCCAGCAAGTACACCGACGTTAAATTCATAAAGATCGACGTCGATAAGGTCAAGGTGTGTTGCTCGAGTAAAAACTCTGATCTGGTTGATTTCTTCTTTCTTTGGGATCGGTTTTGCTATTTTTTAGTGTTTTGGGGTGTTTATTAGGAGGTTGCAACGGAGTATAAGGTGACTGCTATGCCGACGTTCGTGCTGATAAAGCAAGGCAAGGAGGTGGATAGACTGCTAGGAGCCAATAAAGTTGAGCTTGAGAAGAAGATCCTCGAGCACAAGCCCAGGGAAGTTCCCAAATTTGCTGCTTGATTGGATTATCTTAATTACAGGCTCATGTTCCCATTTCAATCAAAATATCAAATAAAAGGGGGTAAACACAGTCTTCTGATGTTATCATGTTTAATGTAATCAGTCCATCTTTGAAGTTTGGTGCCTGTGCCTGGTAAACGACTAACCAGTTTTTACTTGTTATTATGGATTATAGAATAGACAGTCTTTTTTATTAATGCAATTTTCTGTTACTATAAGCGCAAAACAGGCAACGTAAAGTATGACAAGCTTTCCTTTAGTATGTCAAAAAAGTATAATCAGAGCATCAAAATGGTGGCAAGAATTAATTTCAAACTATGAAGTTTGATTTGTAAGAATTAATTTCAAACTGTTTGCTTGGTTTTGGATCTTGTAAAAATATCAAAATGCCAGTTGACATGTGAATATTTCATAACCCCTCTCTATCTGTATTGATTTTAGCATGTTTCAATCATGTTAGACTTAACACGAGCTTTGGAATGAAACAATGGTTATTGACATTTCTCGAAAATGAAGGAGTCCACTTCAACAACAAGTTCTTTACATAAAAACAAATGAGAAGGGGATTTTCAAAAAGTGTTTAAGCACGGATAGGAGGATTTGGTATGGGACATTTTTGGTATAACTCTCCTCCTTGAAAGCTATTCACTTTTGAAAGAAAAACACCCTGAAAAAATGGAAGCATTCACCAAATATGGCAGAAATTTATACTTGGGAATAAAAAAAGAAGATAAGTTTGAGAGATGTGAAATGAAGTAATGAACCAGGGAAAATGCCCTGGTAGCACATCTTGCCCTAACGACATTCAGCCACCCCCACAAGGCAACTTATCCGGCGAACAATTGAGACAATATAAGTTTCTATTGTGATGGAACCTTTCTATATATGTAGATCAGAAACATATACAAACAAATTTATCAAGGCAGGGGTGAGAACTATTTCATCCTTGTCAATTTCTTAAGTACATGAATCAATGATGGATCTGAAGTTGAACAAAACAGTCTATTAAACCGCTAAGAGAATTAAAAGGTAATTTTCCTGTTGACAAATGGACGCATCATCATCTTCTACAACTTCTGATGTGTTAGTAGATTCAGGTCCTATTATTTTCAAACAATAGCTTGCACTTTGTTTTCTGCAAATTCAGGCCATAACCACATGCATTGCTCACATCAGATAAACACCAAGTAAACAGCAACAAAATGGTAATGGTAATGGTAATGGTAATGGTAATGGTAATGGTAATGGTAATGGTAATGGTAATGGTAATGGTAATGGTAATGGTAATGGTAATGGTAATGGTAATGGTAATGGTAATGGTAATGGTAATGGTAATGAAGGTAGAAGTAGTATTAAAGGAAATCAAAGGTAAGCAGGCCTGAAACTTATATTCCATACCATTTACTGTTCCCATGCTTATGAAAGGGCCAAAGATTTACTAATCGCTCTAGCACAGCAGCACTTCTCAAGAAGTAGCCTGAAAATCCTTGTGGTGTTGATGGCGGGGGGAAATCCTCAGCTGGCATTGCAAATGGCAGCATCATCTTCTCCAACTTCTCCAACGTTAGATATGATCCCATTTCTTGAAGCCTCTCAGCTCCCATTATTGGCAACTTGTGTTCCTGATGCCATGTACTATCAGCCTCTACATCGTTTTCCTGCAATGATTACATCACATAAGTTTCTCCCATTGAACAATATCCATAGTAATATCTTGGAGATATATTTGAGAGTTAATAAAACTTGGAAGGTTGACGTGATATGCTATCATATATAATTTCCGTTGCACTTTATTGTGTTTTTATAACAATATTTGTGAAGATATAGAATAAGCCTTCTCTGAATCCTTCCCTTGCAATTCCCTAAAAACCCACATCCAAATGTATCCTTAGTGGCTGTACTCAGGCAGGCTGCAGGCAGCTTACCTCCAAAGATGATATATCTGCTCCACGGCTGAAAGTCATTTCTATACGATACCTCTTAGGGTCTTCTAGTGCCAACTGCACACGCACACAAATAAATAAATCAATATACTACGTATAAAAATCAGACAAGAAATCTCTTTTCATATTTCTTAGAACCTTGTACATGGATAGCATGTCATTCTTCAAGTCTTAACATTAGGCAAATAAAATCATACTCTCTGTGTCCTGTTTTATCTCCTCTTCAGTTCGGGTGCTCTTTCCTCTTCCCCTTCTTATCTTCATTCTTAAATGTCATTCCCAAACTGACGCCAAAAGGAAAACTTAATAACTTTACACATTATCTAGCACATATTTTTTTTTTGAAAGAAAAGCAAAGACAATTTTAGGAGAGACATTACGAAAAGAGTTAAGGAGAAGAGGGAAGAGCACCCGAACTGAAGAAAAGACGCATTGTTCACTCCCTCTTGAATGAGGCCAAAAGTATGTATTGATATTCCAATCTTACCATCTTACTTTGTTTCTTAAATGGATACTTTGTATCAGAAAGTTCATTAACCAGGGTTGAAGGAAGCATTAGAATGACATTTTTTTTGGATAGAGGGGGTTATCAGTAATCGACACTGAGTCATTTAATTAGTACTAATTGTACTTTTTGTTTACGATTTAGGGGATACCAACCTCTGTGTCTTCAAACATTCTTAAAACAATGTAGCTCATATAGTCAAACTCCTTTGTTCCTAATAATTTCTCCAAGGCATTGTCACTAACAAGGCTTCCCTCTCCTTGAAGAGATTCATCCAGATTGCAGTAACGGATGACATTCATCAAGGAATGAATATGAGATTCCTGCCATTGTAATTTGTAAATGATTGAGAGATGACATTTCCATCTGAAAAAAGCAATACCCACCTAATGAAAGTACTCACCGATGTAAAGTAAAGGCGTGTCCTTACATGCCGCTCTGGTGTTCTCACATTTGCGTATCTGAAGAATTATTGTGAAAATGTTATCTAACAATGGTATGTCTTGATCTCCTTGTAACAGCCAACTATTCCAGATTTCTTGACCACCCACATATTATTATATTAAAATTAATACGGTGGAAGCGATACTTGGATTATTAATTTTGAATCACAGTGAGTCATATGAAAGCCATACTTTGGGTCCAAGCGATACTTAGTCTCTTTATCATCATCCTCATCCTGATCTATTGATTTTTCACTGGTGAAGCCTGATTTTCTTGGGTCTTCAGTTTTTGCACGAGGCTTCAGATGATAATCTGCACTTTCCTTACCAATTACTGGATCATGGTCCTCATTTCTCTTCAACTCAGCTACACTAATCGCCTCTTCGCGTGTATTCCTCAAATCAATCAAAAGCTTCCCTAACAAGCGGCGAGCAATCTGAAACAAATAAATAGTGAGAAAAGATAAATATGAAGTACTAATGTTCATGTGTAAGCTTGTTTGTTGAATAGGAGTAATATATTTTTTCCTAAATACGAGTAAGTATTGCCATTATACTGTAATATTGAAATTTGAAATCATACCATAATCTTTTTAGTGTCTGATAGTGCCATAATATTGCAGTATGATTTCAATATGAAATCATGTACTCCTATTTAGAGATACTATCTGATTTTCACTACTATTTGGGAAATTCTCTATAAAATTTCGAATTGTAAAGAAAAATGGGGACTAGACTATCATTTCCGGGCGCAAATATTAATAATATTAAGAATGGAGCGCTAACTCCAATTCTCCATACTATTTTTACCATGTTTATACAGAGAGATTTGTAATTCGCACTCATTTTTTATACAAATTTGAGTTTGCACCACATTTTTAAAAGCATCAATATTTGCTCTTAGAGTTCGAAGAACCATTTCAAAGGAGAGCAAACTCAATTTTAGAAGAAACATGGTGTAAACAATTCTTACGAAGGCAAAAATTAATGATTTCACAAATAGCATGAAAAATGAAGCAGAAGTCCAATGAAAAATGAAGCAGAAGTCCAAATTGTTTCGCATTTCATATCTCTTTGGACTTCGCAATTTTATCTCTTTAGTCTCTTTTCCCTCATCTTTTTTTTCCCTAGTTTTTTTATCCCTATATATATATGCATTATTTGCAGCCTTTTTATTTTATCATTTTTATATATATTCATCTTTTTTATATTATCTTTTCATAATAGCTTATCTTTTTATCTTTATTCCTTCTTTTCCTTTTGGTTGTGATATCATGTATTGATTCATGTTAGCCGACCCCAATATCTTTTGGGACTAAGGCTTGGATGTTGTTGTAGTCTATACTCTATAGGTTCTCCTCATCCTTACTATTCCTAAGCTTTGGTAGAAAATTTGTTTCTTCTTTAGTGAATAGTGATGTATCAGCATCCCCATTCTACCATGTTATGCCTCTTCATCATGGTACCTTACACCTTGCGCTTCCACCCAAAAACTGTTAAGCTACAACACTAATGCAGTTTTTCATCCTGGTCCAAGTAGCATATGCACCATCCTATGTGTCCTGTTAACCCCCTCAAGTACTTTGTCAACAAAAGAAATGCCATTGCTTTCCTTTGATCATCACCATTTGATTATATGCTCCACCTCACCAATACTTCCTAATAATATCTCATAAATGAACTTCTATCCAAACTTGTAGTCATGAGAAACTAAAACTGGTTATCATTTGTACCACTTCTACATGCAACTAAATGAGTTTTTCTTTTTTCAGAACCATATTCAACTACCGTCATGGCTTAAACCAATGCAAGAAACTTAAAGCATTATACGGTAAGAAAAATGTGAAAAGAATAAAAAAAAATCATTACTATTTAGGTATAACAAAAAATTACCTTTGAGCCAATCTTTAGCTTTTGTTGTGGATTTATCCCATATTCATTAGGAACAACACCATCTGCAAGTAACTGACAGGCAAGCAGCAGAGCCATAATTCAGTTTATTTAATTTGACCCAAATGTATAAAAGATTCTCTTAAATGCACTGCTATACATTCATTCCCTGCAGTGTGTATTGCTTTAAGATACTTTCAGTTGACAGTGCATTAAAAGTGTATCACCCATCAATGTAATATTGTCATATGGTTGGGTTTTGTAGAACTTTCTGACCACAGGTTATATCATTGATAGTTTTTTACCTTTGCAACCCCGAAAAGTTCATGTAACCCTTCAAGTTTTAGATGTGAGTTATGCAAAAGGTCATACCTGTTGTAAAGAGAGAAGAAAAAAAATAACATTCATGAATTCTTCACGAGAATCATAAAGAAATGTCAGAGGCAAAATTAATTTTAAAATATTTTATTTGAGTTTCCACGATGGAGATCCATAAACAAATAAAACAATGGAAACTCTTCATCAGTAAATAATCCTTGAAGAAGAATCTTTTCTGTTAGTGACATTACATGGGAAAACAATGCTGGTCAATGGTCATAGACCTCTGTAAACTGTAACAGAGCTACATAGAAGTGTAGCCAAGTGATACTGTAATGAAAGCACATATACCACTGAAAGAGGGTACATGTTGACAAAACTGTCACATGTTGTGATGATTGTACAATTTATGTAATACAAGGTGCTGATTAATACTACTACTAGTCTTGGCTGTGATGATTGTATAAGCTCACCTTTGCTCAAGTGCAAAAGTTTGCCTAATCCATATGAATCTTTGTTGAAGAACAAAAGTAGTAGTACAGTCTAAATGCTAATTTTGAAGGTTCAATCATCTCGGGACGATGATAATACAAAATGTTATCTTCCTTCAAAATATTCTTTATGATTCATAGAATTGAAGGTAGCTTATGTCCACAGCTTTCACAGGTCAACAGAAAATAATTGATCAGCACGTAAATCTTGCATAAGATAGTTTGGGTAACTCACTTGCTTGAATCATACACATCTGGAATCTGTGTGATGTCAAAGCGTCTGCATTAGTAAGCTCAGCATTAACGAAGTGTAATCAATACTGGAAAATGGTTTGTAATAAACAATCAAACTTCTCTAATAAATGAGCACTCCAACTCGAGGGTACTCTGCCATTACATCTTGGGACAGTGAAAATGTGTCATAACTTGATCGGAAGATGTTTCCAAAGCCTCAAGAAGGTAACAATACTTGGGGCGGAACAAGACTTACTCTTTGCGTTCGTTATACAATTCCCTTTCAAGTTTTCTCCACCTTGCATACATTAGAAGGAATCCCTCACTGCCACACGGTAAACCAGCAGCAATGCGATCAACATCTATATTTGTTTTACCAAGTGCCTTAGCTTGATCATATGGTGGAATAACATCACACGAGCTCGTCTCAGAAAGTTCCTCAGCTTCATACTTTGCAAGAACCCAAACTTGTTCTGCCACTTTTTTAGTCAATTTCACCTAATCACAATCATAAATTGCAACCATGGGCTTAATGATAATAGATTCACATATTACAGGCAGGGATGTATTTACTTTTAATCACATATTGAGAGGCCTATTACAAGCACTTCTTCATTAACTTCAGAAAATGCAAAACATCACTTCCCTGGCAGGGTAAAGTGGAATGTGGGACACAAAATTTGTTGCAGCAAAGATCACCAAAAATTTGGAAACCAAAAGCCATAATTTCTAATAGTAGTTTCATATCAACTTACCAATTTGGGGAGAAGTTCGGATGCATTTGTAGTGACTCCGGCTCCATCAACCATCCAGGGCTTCTCTGATGATCCGTTACTATGAACTTTTGTTACTCCAGAAGTTATAATTTCATTCAATTTAGTCTGAGATAGAACAAAAGAAACATTTTTTGGAATAAAATGTAAAAGAAAAGATCGAAGTAGGGTACTGGACTTGTGGAATGTGGCATTTGCAACAGAAATGAAGTAACGAATGGGATTACATGTGGCATATATATTACTCCCTTCATCCCATTTAAAGGTTCTCATCCACTATTCTCCGTTCAACGTGCATTGTTCTTAATCTTTTACTTTATATATCCAACTTTTACCAAATCTAAATTTTCTTGATTAGGCTTTGTAGCGGTTTTAATGTAGTTTCTGAATATGTAAATTTTATTTACTAAAACTAATTCTACTAATGACAGGGATCAATTAACTTTATGGTCAGTCAAACATCGTAAACCACGTGAGAACTTTTAAATGGGACGGAGGGAGTATAAAACTACTATAGACCAAATCAGAAAAGTAGCAAGCATATTCCTTGTCTTGAATATCTAGAGTAGATAGTCCTAGGCCACGCATTATTAAGGTATAACTTGATCAACATGAAGTAGGTGAATAACTTATATTTGGATATTGTTAAGGTTAGGTGCTTCGGCCCAAGAGTCCAAGGCATAGCTTTTGCGGGTGTTTGGATGGATTAGATAGTGCGAATTATTAAAAGAGAGAATAAACGAGAGAAATTGAATCATCTATATTTTGCTCGAGCTACTTGGGCTGAGCTCCATCATACGGGCCGAGCATTCTAGCCCCTGAGCTTAGCATCTACGTCTAAGATAGGCATCTTTACACCCAGGCCGAGTCGAGCTCGGGACCTCATACGGATGTTGTGGACAGTCGTTTCAGAACTAACATCCCACATAACTGAAGGTGAACGTCATCAAGGAATACACGTGTGGCTTAATTGGGCATTTTGTTAGCAAAGGACAATCATCCATACAACAAGTACCAATTAAGCAATCAAACAGATATTCACTCACTAATTAGCCCTACACGTGGCACTTTTTTATTAGATTAGTTATTTTAGTTGTTCCCCAAGGATTTCAAATTTCCAATATCACCTTCCTGCTGGTGGAAAGGGATGGATCCGAAACTCTCTTTAGCATACCATTACTCTACCGGTTTCGCTACTCGATTCATACTTGGCATATTTTCCGACTCACGCTCGGATTTTGCATATCCCCAGTCCCTAAGGACCATCATTACCCTTGAAGCAAAGCAGAGAGGCAAGAAGGAAGTCTTGATGCTGGAACAATGCTTGCCAGAACAATGTTTTCAGGTCTAGAGAGAACGTCTGCAACAAAACTCAAAGAAAGTGGAGGAAAAAGTGGCTGGGAAGGGGTTTATTACAGGTGAAATCACCTCTCCCCCTCAAGGAGCACCACATCGCTGGGGAGCGTCTTTGGGACAACTGTCACTTGAAGATAGAATGCCCCACCATCATTACATTGTGATATATGGATCCGACTCCAGACCTTCTCAAAGATTTGATTGTTTATTCAAGACTAGAGGTAACCATACTAAGCCAGGAGGTAACTATGTTGAGCGCATTTCGAACTACGTATTTCCTGAACGTTGCCAGATCAGGTTGAGAGAGCAAGCCTAGTGGTATAAATGAGAAATACTTCATGCTGCCTTGTAACACTTCAATACAAATATTTGGGGGACTTGTGTTAAACAGCTCCAACAAGGCTCCATTATAGCAAAGCCTAGAGCCGCACGTGCTCGAGGTTACGTTCTGAGCATGATCCTCTGGGTTCAGTGTGGTTGCTCCCTATTTCCTTGGCTATCCGGATATAGTTAGCCAAATCCTTACATTGAATGTTCTTCCCGCTAAATCTGAGTTTTCCTAAGCAAAAGAGTGCTGGCCAAGTAATGTGTTCTTTTGGTCAGTGTGCAGTCCATACCTAGAAGTCATTTTGGGTACTTCACTCGTCATTTGGTGAGATGGTTTTTGGTCCTTGGTAGCGCATGATGTCTGGCTTAGAATATCAGGTTGTTTTTTGTGTTATCTAGAGCTAATACAATCATATAGGGGACTCTAGCTGGGCTGGAGCATAACTTATATAGAGCAGGAACTCGGGCTGGAGGAAGAGAGGTTGAAGACTCCTGTGGGTTCACCAGAGGCGGGGACGGGCTACGGGCCATTTAATTAATTTTATTCTTTTATAATTTTCTTGATTTCTATCCTATTTGGAGTTAATTAGAATTTTTATTATTTTGTTTCCTATTTGGAGTTAATTACGAGTTTCCTATTTGGAGTTAATTAGGATCTATTATTTTGTTTCATATTTGAAGTTGATTAGGATTTCTATGATTTTGTTTCCTAGTTTGAGAATTAGTAGATGAGTATTTAAACCCCTTGTTAAGATTCATTCTTGGTTATCAATTAATAAAATTGGATTTCAGTCTATTGCTCTGGGTAACAGTTTATTCCGTTGATTATTAATATTTTGTTCTCATCATTTGGTCAAATTGTTGAGAACAGAAAGTTAAAAATCAACAGTAAAAACCGTTGCCCAGAGCCAATAGGCTGAAACCCGGTTTTATTAACTGATAAGCAAGAATGAATCTTAACAAAGGGTTTAAATACCCATCTACTAATTCCCAAACTAGGAAACAAAATCATAGAAATCCTAATCAACTCCAAATAGGAAACATAATAATAATGATCCTAATTAACTCCGAATAGGAAACTCAAACTCCTAATTAACTCCAAATAGGAAACAAAATAATAGAAATCCTAATTAACTCCAAACAGGAAACAAATCAGGAAAATTATGAAAGAATAAAATTAATTAAATGGCCCGCAGCCAGCCCTCGAAGGTGGGCTCAAGCCCGTCCTCGCTTCTGGTGAACCCGTAGGGGTCTTTGACGTCTCTTCCTCAAGCCTGGATTCCTGCTCTATATCAATAACTCTTGGCACTTGCAACTGCCAACCTTTATGGAGTGAGTCCTTGGAGCTGATGGCCAATATCTTGTGGTGTATTGAAGTGTGCATTCCTGGCATCGACCCTCGGGCTTGCTCTCTCAAGCTGACCTTGCAATGCTCAAAAGATAAGTAGCCTAGAGGGCGTTCAACATAGTAACCACCTGACTCAGTCTGGTTACTTTCTAATTTGGGTAAGCGATCGAATTTTGAGAAAATCCGAAATCTAACTCAAAGATCGATGAGTAATGATAGCAAAGCATTTCATCATTGGATGAACCCTATTACGGCGATTGTCCCGTCAGTGTGGCACTCCCTGATTGGCCATGAGAGGTGGTTTTGCCTATATATACCCCTCTATAGCCCTTTTTCCTTCCGCGTTCTTTGAGTTTTTCTAAAGACGTCCTCTCTCTAGATCTAAAAATAGTTATGGCAAACATTGTCCCACCATCCTTTCCAATGTATCCAAAAAAAGCATTGTCCCATCATGAAGAATTCCTTCCAGCCTCCGTGCTTTCATTCTAAGGTAACGATCACAAATGTTCTTCATCCCTTCTCTTTTCTTTAAGGTTCCTTCTCTCTTTATCTGAGACTCGCACATACCACATTTCAAGCCAAGACCACATATTTCAAACTACATAATTCCCAAGCGTTGCATGACCAGGTCGCAAGAGCAAGATCGGGGTGTACACCAAAAATACTTCCAGGTGCCTTTTTACACACTTCAATACAGCAACATTGGGGGACTTGTCTTGAAATGCAGCTCTAAGAAGGCTCCGTTCCCTCAAGGCACAATTGAAGGAGTTAGAGGTTATGCACATGCCCAACCTGATCCTCTAGTGTAATTGTATTAGCTCCGAGCATCACAGAGATCAGCCTAATATAATCGACTGGATGACATGCATGACCCGGCGTGGCTCCTTTTCTACAATAGAGAGAATACATCACCTGGCCAACACTTCTTTGTTGTTGTAAACGCAAATTTGACGGAAAGCGCAATCAATGCTGACCCCGTGACCACTTCATACCACTATAGTTACTTGAGAACATTTGTACTTCTTCTATTATTCTAGTGTATTAGTGAGTGAAATTGTGAGTTATTAGAGCTTGATCTTAGTAGTGTGTTGCAAGAGTCAGGCTGAATATCCTGAGCCAAATACAGAGGATCCAAATTCTCTCATTTCTACTCTGATAGAGAGCAGGAAGAGCATGGGGCGGGAACGGGCTTGGGCCCACTTCCGTGGGCCAATTATGGGCTGTCGTTATAATTTTATTTATTATTATTAAATTAATGTTATGTTTTAGTTTGGGCCTATTATTAGTAGAGTACTTAGTAGAGTTAGTATGGGCTTAATTAGGATTTAATTAATTTGGGCTTGATTAGAGTTTCTCTTAGAAGGCTATTTATACCCCTTGCCAGGGTTCATTCTAGCTTATCTGGGAATAAAATTGGTTTTAGCCTTTTGGCTCTGGGCAACGGTTTACCACGTTGGTTTTTATTTTTTGTTACACAACAATTGGTCCGACCTGCCGCATCCCGTCCCGCCAAGATGACAAGAACTCAGAACGATCATTTGATAGAACTAGAGAACGAATAAACCCTAATTAACCAGAAGCTTGATGCGTAGGGACTGAAGCTGGAAGAACACGGAATCCAGCTCGCGGAAATCGCAGCTTCACTGGCAGCAATCGCGAAGGCCATGGTGCCGCCGGAGAAATCGCCAACTGTGACCACCGAAAGCGACTCCTCTGTGCATGTCGCGACTACACCCTTCGTTGATGGAGGTCTGCGCAGCGATGCATCTGCCCTTCTTCCTTCGTTCGACGGTGAAGACCCGGTCGGGTGAAAAATGATAGTTGATATGGACTGTCTACATTATATGACACACGAATTAAAGTATAACGCTAGTCAAATGTCATGGCAGAAAAAACCTTTGCTTTTTCCATCTCAATACTGGCATTTTCAAGTCCATCCAACATAGACGCATCCTTGCTTACCAGGGAGACCTTAACAAGAGGGAAAATAAGTAAATAATCACAAAAGAGTTTGCTGTTTAATGACCAAAAAATCAAAATTCAAAATGCATTGTTTTTACCAGTATGGGTGTCAGCTCCCCTTCCAGGTCTAGAAGTCCTTTGGCAAAAGCAGCAGCTGACATCTAAAAAAAGCCACAAATGAAGGAAAATTGTAGCTAGAGAACATATGAAACAGCTATACAAAGCATGAATGCAGATTTAAGGGAGGCAAGGAAAAAGTCTTGCATGTCAAATCCAAGTACATTGAATTCTGAAAACACAAAAAACAGACTGGAGAGTTCGAAAAATAAATCAGTTTGCGTCCTGCACTAAATAGCTCACTTGCACACGCCCTTCATCTGAGCTGTATATTTTAAGGTCATGGCGGTAAGTACTGTGGAGACGAAGCAAGCCTGTACCTTCACCTGAAATTTCATATAAGAGATAACAAAGAAATAGTGGCAACATCAATTAGAAGAGACAAATTAAAATCACACTGTTGACATATAATATATAGACTATAGTAGACCATATCTTCAGACCAAATAGGATGCATCTTCAGGTGAAAAATGATAGTTGATATGGACTGTCGCATTGAGTAATGAAGCTAAATGACTTTAAATACATGGTGACATTTTTGTAATTTTTGCTATATAAAGTGCCGTGAACATTTTACTGCATATAGCACACTATTTGTGTGCGTAGTCCGGTTGTAATGTCCTGAATATGTTCAATGCAAGACTGTTTCCTTTCTAACATGGGATTAGAAATTTGTTTCGTATCTTGAATTATGAATATATCACCATGGGTCATCCGGAAACGGTCTCTCTGTGCTTTAGTACAGAGGTAAGGCTGCGTACATCCGACCCCCCTTTACCCCACAATAGGTGGGAGCCTTTGCGGCACTGGGGTAATGATGATGATGATCTTGAATAATGAATATATCCGAATATTCATATTAAAAATTCAAGATTATGGTCATTGCATAGACAATCAAAATTCACAAGACTATTCCCTTCCCAATTTACCCATCGTGTTTCCTGTTTCACCAAAATTGAAGACTTGAAGCCACCTAAATTCTCTGATATCAACATTAATGTCAATCCACTTTTCGGCTTTCCAGTCATCACTGCTTACTAGTTACTACACATCCCACCATTCTGCCGCTGCTCCGGTCTTGTGAGACTACAGCTGCAGCCCTACTATTATTTTATGAATGCATGGGGTTAACCAGCCATGGTAAATGTTACATAACCTAATTATCTGAATTTTGAGCTCCTGGTTTTCATTACAAAAGAAGAGTACAAAACATTCAATATGAGGCAACTAAGAAAATTTGTATTCCCAATTCTTCTAAATCCATGCTTGCATCACACTATTGGTGTTCGAATTCAACTTGGGACTGCAGCTTCTTGTGGTTGTTTGTGACAATATATTCGTCGACTCACTTCCATGGTTATCTTTGGTGCTGGTTCAAAAAGCAAAGCTACAGAAATTGGTGAACTCACCTTCTCTCATCCATAGACTTTGCGCATATATTTTAAGAAGTTTAAATCTGTGGTTTTACTATCAACTTGGGGTCTCAGGTAACAAACCTACCCTATCTCACAAGTTCCTTGTTTTTTGCTCTAATTTTATTGGAATTAAGGAACAATTGACGAGGAAGATCATTGACAAATAATTTCAGATACTGAGAGAAAATTGCTAACCAGGATAGACATGATTCCTAAAATATCTTCCCAGCTCTTCAGCCTACAAAAGATAATGAAAATCATACATTATAAGAATTAGAAAGAGCAGGCACATAATTAAAAACACAAAATAGTATTTTCTATGGAGAAGTAATTATCTTCAACTTAATACCCAGACATAAAATACGGTCTTGAAAGAATGAATACATAAATCACTACCTGCTTTCTGCCAGCATGAGTAAGAACACCACCATATTTAAGGACCATAAGAGCTTCCACAGGTTTCTCTTCTTCACCTTCACCATTAGGTTTTGCAACTTTAGCCCACTTTAGCGGCTTTAATTGAACTTTCCTATAAATGCCCGAAAAATGCCCCCCCTAGAGGAAAATTTACAAGTATATAATTAATACCAGAGTTGGATTTTGTAGCAGTTAAATGTAATTCGTAAACCAGCAAATGTTCTGAAGTTCATGTACAATAGATATTATATACTTCCTCCGTCTCTTTTTAGTTGCAACATTCCCTTTTTCACGTTTTCCAACGCACAACTTTGACCGTCATTATATTTAATTCCGTATTAGTAAAAATAAAATAAAAATCAGATTATAAAACTTAGTAATGAGACGAATTTAACAATATTTTTTAAAAAAAATAATTCACATACATTAATAAATAAAATGTAGTCAAAGTAGAGTACATGAATAGTGCATATATTCCAATGTTGCAACTAATGCGATACGGAGGATAGTACATACTTGTGTATAAAATATATTTATATGTTGTATTTCTGATATGAACGTGCATATAACTATTGAGTATTAGAAAGCAAAAGGGAACAAAAAATATTATTCAGACCTCCTCGAGTACAGCTTTGACTTGACGAAGTTTTTCTACATGAACTAGGTCTTCTGCTTCACTATCACTTTCCTGACCAGGTCTACATATAATACGAAAAGAAATCAGTCAGATAGCAGCTCTATCAGATTACTTTTATTTTATATCTATACTAAATACAGAAGAGTCTTAATTGATTAAATTATTATTTCATTTGCCTCATTTTACTTTTCATGTATATGATTGATCAAATCGTCAAGCCACATCTTATTTCTTTCACATTTTTAGATACTTTTTAAACTTTCTAATTTTTATGCTAAATAAAATTCTTTAAGATGTTTTTAAATATATGGATTTTATCTACCAACTCTAGATTTAAAAATTGCAAAAGATTGTAAATAACTTGAGCCAAGTCTCACTATGGGAGTTAGACACCTATAATGGTATGAAAGAAGTTGTTGTTTGAAGCAAAGCACCTTGTAATCTTATGGCATCAGCTTTACTATCCATAGTGAAGTTCACAAGTTCAAATATTATCGTAATCAGGGTTGGTGGCAGTATTATTGATCAGATACTTTAAATAAGTTAGAGTGTTTCTATAAACCAAAAAACTTCTTAATCATATTTATCAAATTTTTTATAAGACAACCCTCTTATCTTAGTTATATAACTAGAGAATGGGATATGCTAAACATAAATCAATATCCACTAGCGTGTTCGTGATGCTCCACAAGTACCATGGAGAGAAATTTCATCCATGCAACTCAGATCATCTCCCATGGTGTGGCAGTTACACTTCCTGAATAATTATATGTTTATTTCAGTTTGACTCTACTTGGAGCATCTCCATAGATGTATAATGTAGTAATGAATAATACAACCATCATGTTCAATAGTGTGCAAATTGATTAAACGGTGTCAATTTTGTAATGGGATGACTAGAACAACAATGTGAACTCAAAATCATCTCATAATATTTGTCTACTTAAAAGGCACATCTAAAGCTTGAAAGTCAAAGTGTTTGAGCAAGGTTGCCCCCACAGGCCAAGGAAGCTGTGGACGCTCACAGTGGAGCGCAACTATCAGGTTAGCTCGAAAAGAAGAAGATGGTGCTAGCTACTGTATTGGAAGCCACCATCATTGAGTAAAAGAGTAGCAAGTTAAGTAACATGAAGTGGATTTTGAACTCCTAGAGTCAAGTTTTAAGTTTAATATTTTGTATCTGGCTTGGAGCATATTACTCCAGCTTAAAGTATTTAAAGTAATATGGTTGTCCAGTCTCATTAGGTGTATGCGTATGTTTCACATTCCTACTGAGAAGTTATGGAGTTGCAAGCTGTAAATCAAGTCATTTCGACAATAGTGGTCGTTTGTCATTGCATAGAAATGAATGTTGCAATATCCTGTAGCAATAGTGAAGAAAAGGGGAAATTCATATACCTTAGGTTGTGAAAGAGTAAAAGAGCTCACTATAATGAGGTATGATGATGCATGCATGATGCATCATGCTACTATATAATACTATGGGAAGATAAAAAGAGCAATCAAGTAGAATAATGAGGAGTCAGGAGTGATAGCTGATTGATTTGCTTGATTTGAATTGATTTTATGTGATAGCGGTATACCGACTAGACTGAAGGGTAATTGGTAAGTTTTATCGGACAACAATTAAACCTGCATTATTGTACGCTGTAGTGTTGGGTAGTGAATAATGTCACATCAAAAGATGAGTGTGGTAGAGATGCGCATGTTGCATTGGATGCGTGTACATAGTGGAAAAGATTGATTGAGGAATTAGACAATGAGGCAACATGTGGGAGTAGCTCCTATTGAGGATTAGATGCGAGAGTATCTATTGTGGTGGTTTGGCCATGTGCGTAGAAGATCGAGCGATACACCTGTTAAATGAAGTGAGAGGTACGGAGAAGAGGCAGAGAGGAGGTGGATTAGAGCGGTCATGAATAGATGAGAGCACGACTATGGAAAAAGCGAGTGGAAGATTGATCTTTTTTCATCATTTTATCTGTCTTTCTTATGTTCTTTATCCGTTTATCTTCTTTATCTTATTTCTTTTATCATTTTTATCTTATCATTTTTTACTTTATCTTATCTTTATTTCATCTTTTTTTATCTTTTTTATCTTTCTTATCTTTTATCTTTCTCTCTTGTTTTTTATACTTCTTATCTTTTTAGGTATAATTTCATGTGTCGATTCATGTTAGCCGACCCCAAACTCTTTTTGGATTCAGGTTTGGATGTTGTTGTTGTTGTTTGGTCTAAATCATCAACATTATTAATGTGTAGACCTACAAGCAAGCTGAACATAAAGGAGCGTTGATGTTAGCATAAAATAAAGCCAAGGAAGAACGAGATACCAGATTTATGCCATTCAAGCTTTGAGTACGGTAGGTTTCACACTATAAAGATGATGAAAAAAGATATACTCAAGGGCCTCTAGAACCCAGCTGTTCGAGAAGACACAATATGTCTTCGGACTGCAACGCCAACAAATGAAATACTGGTTTCCTACTGTCAACATATAAAGCCAAGACACTGCTTTAGCTAGTTCACTTAGATGTAATCAGGCCCATAAGAAAAATTGCGGGTACAAACACGTTACAACTTTCATGGGTAACTCCTCATATGTTTAGGTTTAAATATTGAAAGGAAAGGGTATACCCTCTCAAGTTTTAGGGATCAAAGTATTAATTAGAGAAAAAGGTAGGAAAATAGATAAAGTGCCTATGTACAGTGCGTACAAACAATATAACCTAACCAAACATTTGCGGTATACCCCCCTAGGAAGTAGGGTCTACAGAAGGTGAGCTGTAAGAGGATCTTTTACCTCTACTATTAGAAGTAGAGAGACTCTTTCTGTGAACATTGAAAGTTAGGAAATGTTTCAGTAATTAACCATAGATGATTATTAGTATATTTTTCATTTTATTTTTAGATAAGAAATACTCTCTTTTGTCCCTTTCTTCGACATTCTTTTCTTTTTTGTCTATCCCATATGATTCAATTTACTTTTGAGTAAATCTTTCTGTAGTTTATATAAGTATTCCCTACTCTAAACATATATCAGCCATACTTCCTACTTGCTTAAAAACTGTGATAACTTAAATGAGGAGTCAAAGAAGAAACAGAGGTAATAATAAATCAAAAGAGGAATGAACAAAATGTTCATATCGATGAACGAATACAACTGTAATCATTTGACATCATTTACAAACATGGGAAAAAATACTTTACCTAGTTTGTGGCACCAGTGCTCTTGTGGCATCTAAGAGGTCTTGTAGCTGAACAGCACTCTTAAGCTTTGTCTGCAACATAATTTGAAAGAAAGCATCTCTTTTAGAATGTGTTGGCATTTCAAACATCAATATAAATATGGAACAAACAGAGGACCTCAGATCTAGCTTTTCCTCCATTGTATTTCAACAACAAATTCAACAGCTTTTCCTCAGTAACCTTTAACTTCACTTTCTGCTTTGGAGTTCTATCACCACTGATAAAATGTAGAGATTAATGTGAGGGATGGTATAAAATTCTCATCCTGAGAAATAAGGTAGATGGAGTATGCCTAACTGTCGAATTACTGCAATCACACAGCGTAGCTCTTCAGATTCCCCAAATGTGCCAATAAGTCCACTCCCGTGGCGTGTTAAACCTTCCGAAGGCTGAATTGGTTCATTAGATTTGCATGGCAATGTGGGTGGAATAGTTGATGAAAGATGTGGGGCTTTTGCATCTAGAAACATTTTCCTCAACACACAAGCAGCATCATCATAGTATCTGTAGTCAGAAGTTAATTCCATAATTCTTTCTGAACCAAAAAAAAGTTTAAAAACTAAATGAATAAGAAACAAGAGGATAGAGAGGATACAATGCAGCTAGCACTAACAGCAAGTCAATGATCATCTACATGTACACGCAGACAAGAAGCAATTACTACTAGCATTTCTGTCAACCTAATGCATGCGTGGATAATTCAAGTCACCATTTCTTTCCATCTTATAAGTATTTGTTTTGGACAAATACTTACATGAAGGACTTAGAAACATAGTTTATTTCATCATGTGATGTAATTTGGAGTTCCAAATGTCATGAAGGACAACTACAAACTTCTCTTAGGGTAATAATACTTGTAGGAATTCTTCACAAAGCTCCACCCATTGACATCACAGACATATGAACGCCCATTGCTACGCAAGAGATCAAAACCGCAAACCTGAAAATAAGGTGAAGAAACAAAAACTATTTTTAAAAGAACCATGATCATCACTAACAAATCTCAACCCCAACTACATTGGCACTTGGCAGTGTCATGAACTTTATAATGTCAATTAATTATCTAAAATTAATTAACACTATAAAGTATAAGTTCATGCAAAAATATATAGTAGCAAAGCATTATAATGGATTCTCTTCGTGTTACAACCTACATATGGCAGTTGAGTTTCTCCAGGATAAATCCGCAACCTTAATGTAAATCCTTAAAGAGTATAATGTAAAACCTTAAAGAGTAGCAAATCAACGATTATGCAACCTTAACATCTGTTAAAGTATAAGTTCATGCAGAAAAGGTGTGCCTGGATATAAGCATATACAGACATCCTAAGCACATAAATCTGCATAAGGTCAAGGCTGACAAATATTTAATACTCACCAAGAACATTCATCTGCAGGTAACTGAATATTCAAAAGCCAAAACCCATCAACACATACAAATAGTATGCCTCTTAAAATGTAAAACGTAAAAGTTAACATTAAGCAATACGAAGACTCAGATTCCGAAAATGAAGATGGGATTGCATCAATTTCTATAAGGTTAAAAATCATCTTAATAGTTAGCGAGCATTCAAGTGACTTACAGCCTGCTTAAAGGCAATACAAACTTCTCTTGCCATCAGCTTCTCAGTAGGGGTAAGAAGAACAGGATATCTGATCTGCACACAAAATAACAGCTTTGTATGGATATTTTTCATTTAGAGGCCGATAGTAAGCTTTAGCATTACTTGCATAAAGCTTGGAACTGGTAAAGTTACTTTCAAGCCATTCATCAATTGCAGATGCAACTTGAAACATATTAGAAATATTCTAGAAAATTCTTTTATCTTGAAGAAAATGTGCACCTCTTTTCCGTCAGGATTCCTCATTACAACACCATCAACAACGGGGGATTTTCTTGCCTCTGCATGTGCATACTCGGGGCCAACAGTATAAACCTAATTAAGAATTGTCAAATCGGAAATATAAATCTTTATATATATATATATATTGAGAGTATGGTGGAGAATCAAGTAGAAATTCATTTGGAGCCATAAGAAGTGAAAAATTGTTGTGTTAATTAATGAAGTATTTGATAACTTTGTCATTAATAACAACCAAAGATTATGTATGTCTAATTAATAGTTATAACTTATCAATAAAATATAAAAATAGAATAAAAACCACAAGTATGATAGAGACTTTACTAAACTGAAGAAAAGAAGATAAATACTATAATAAAGTGTATTTTAGAAAGAAATAGGGTCTGTTATTAGTCTAGTTTGTTATGAGCTAATAACTACCGGGGGCTAGCCTTCCTTACTATAAATAGACTACAGTTAGAAATTGGGAGGAGGCTGTTTTAGACTGTGTCTTGGGACTTGGGAAGACAGAGATTATATTCTCTTTCTTTTGGGGGGCTTCGGCTCATTGGGGGCTTCGGCCAGTTTATTGTTACGATTACTGATCTTGTTCTTCTTCATCAATAAAACTCCTTTGTTTCTTGTTAAATTTCTGTTAATCGTTTGAATTATTGGAGATCTCTAACATTGGTATCAGAGACGTCGATCGCTGAGATAACCACGCCTGAAAATGGAGGGACGACTCACTGAAGTGGAGAGGAATCAGCGTGAAATGCAAGCTAGGATGGCGAATATAGCGGCTAATATGGCCGTGATGCAAGCGGCGATGCAAGCTAGCATCGCAGAATTGAAGGTCAGAATCTCGAGGAGTCATTCGCATAGATCAAGTACTGCGCACCATGGACACGCAAGAAATTGCGATCAGGGAGAGAGTGGTAACATCGCACGTCAAGCGGAGAACCCTAGAAATCATCCATCTCAGTCGCTCACCAAGTCGCATAAGGATGTTTCGCACTCGCGAGAGGATTCGCGCGGAAAACTGGGGAAGCTCGCGGAAGAGGTTGAGCGAGGAAAAGTGGAGAAAGAGAAGCGCGAAAAAATGGAGAAAGAGAAGTGCAAAAAGATGGAGAAAGAGAAGCGCGAAAAAGTGGAGAAAAAGAAGAGCGAAAAAGTGGAGAAAAAGAAGAGCGAAAAAATGGAGAAAAAGAAGAGCGAAAAAGTGGAGATAAAGAAGAGCGAAAAAGTGGAGAAAGAAAAGCCTTCAAACATGGAGAAGGGAAAGCCCAAGCTGCTGAAACAACGTCGGCGAGGAAGGTCAAGGACTGTACGTCACTGTATAAATTCGAAGAACAGAGGTTTGTCTCAGTCGCAAGAGATTTCTTCCGGTCCTCTGGCTTCGACTCAAGTAGAAAACCTTAGTTCGCAATCTCTATTTGAGTCCCCAGAGTCGCAGCAGAAGTTGGTCAATCAGCAACTACAGCCCACGGAGGATACACACACTTATGGCAAAGAGGAAAGCAAGAAGAAATCTTCAGTTAATCTTGGACTGGAAGATGGAGCAATTACTCGTTTCCTCATTTGTAATAACACTTCCAGCCTGAAGAATAGCTGCAAAGATTGGAGTGCTTTTAAAAAATATGAACTTCCTTCATCTGACAAGGAAGGATGGAACCAAAGAAGTAGGGATGATGTACTTGTTGATGCAGGAGCTGACTTTGTATTCTCAGCCGCAAAGTGTTGCTTGGTTTATGTGTTGCTTCATAGTAGCTAAGATTGTGCCATTTTAAAAATAACCTGGGGTCTTCCACTATCTGTTTCAAGGCACAAGGTGAAAATGGACTTTCCCTTTGAGAAATGTACAGTTGCAGAGAGTTTTTGGTGGGGAATTTCTATGGAAGTTGTATGGTGGAATGATATGGGGAGTACTCAAAGTGTGGCAGAGGGTGGCATTGTTTTACTGAAAAGCATCATGGTTGTCAATCATAATTCAATGAGAGGAAAGTCAACTGGAGTGGAAGCAATTTGTAGTTCAAAAATTCTTGATGAGCAGATTAAAGAGGATGAGAATCCTGATGTTCAAGACAAAAACACAAATTCTGCTACCGTTGTAAGTGTTATACTTCAGGGAAGCATGAAAATAATTGTAGCCATTGAAGACCTGAAGACTGAAGAGAATGAAAGTTCACCGGAGACAATATATGTTGCAGTAACATATGTGAATTGGAAAGATCAAGTAATGAAGCTCATCTATCAGAAATTAATGAGATATTGGGAAGGACGAAGCATCAGGATGAAGAGGAAGCAAAAGATGGAATTGAAACCTGAGGGCATCAGACAACAAATTCCACCCTTCCAACTTGAGGGCAAGTTGGATTTTCAGGAGGGGAGATTTGATAGAGACTTTACTAAACTGAAGAAAAGAAGATAAATACTATAATAAAGTGTATTTTAGAAAGAAATAGGGTCTGTTATTAGTCTAGTTTGTTATGAGCTAATAACTACCGGGGGCTAGCCTTCCTTACTATAAATAGACTACAGTTAGAAATTGGGAGGAGGCTGTTTTAGACTGTGTCTTGGGACTTGGGAAGACAGAGATTATATTCTCTTTCTTTTGGGGGGCTTCGGCTCATTGGGGGCTTCGGCCAGTTTATGGTTACGATTACTGATCTTGTTCTTCTTCATCAATAAAACTCCTTTGTTTCTTGTTAAATTTATGTTAATCGTTTGGATTATTGGAGATCTCTAACAAAGTATAAATAAAATAATTACAAAACATAGAAACATATAAATACAAAATTAATCTAGCGATGACAAAACAAAATTCAAAAAATGAAATGTTATTATTTATAAATATAAAAAATGCCGATTATTACATTATATTCAAGCGTGACGAGTCTAGCTACAAACATTGTATAAAGCACTAATAATAATTAGCTATAATATTAATAATCATGAACAAAATAATATTAAAAGTTTCACTCATTAATTCTACCACGCACGACCATTAGTAAATCAACAAAAAAAAAAATCTTACTACTTACTAGATCCACACGTGTACAAATGATTGTGCTAAATTCAATTCTAAAATAGATATAAACAATAATGGTAGTATTGAATAAGTTTATGATGAATTTGTAGGAATATTTGGGTATATAAACAGCTTTAAATAGGTACAGTGAAATTTATGTCATATGTTTGTGTAAATAAAATATTATGTCATATGTTTGCGTAAATAAAACATATAGCCCATTCGGTTACATGAAAGGGAAAAAATATCCTTAACATATGCTATTTGTTTAATGTCTTTAAAGAATACTACCGCACACATTTGTTTCTCGAGTGAGAATTTGCTATTCATTTGAAATATCAAAATAAAAAGGTATTAGTTTAACTTATCCTATTTATATGTGCTATATAGCCATTTAACAAATAAAAATTAATAAGAATGAAGGTATTATAACTATCTATTTCGTACAACAATTTTTCGTGAAATTTTGATAGGGTAATTGTTAAGAACTTTTTAAAATCGGGATGACAAATTACAAAAATCAGTGGGGTAAGTACTGAGTTGAATTACCAATTTGTATTAAAAAAACATATTATATAACCCACATATATAGATAGCTGCAAACCAAAAAGTTATTTTTTCACATAAATGGCTAAATGATTTTTTTTATAATAATTAAATATATTAAGTACTTTAAGGTTGTTTTTACTTGGACTGTAATTCGTCCCAAACCAGACCAAAACAGACCAGACTACAACAGACCAGACCAGACCAAACCAGACTAAACCAAACCATATTTTATTATTATTATTATTATTATTATTATTTTTGTTATTGTTGTTGTTGTTGTTGTTATTGTTATTATTATTGTTGTTGTTGTTGTTATTATTATTGTTATTATTGTTATTATTATTATTGTTATTATTATTGTTATTATTATTATTATTAGTACTGTGACTACTATTACTATTAATACTATTATTACTATTATTATTACTACTACTATTATTATTATTATTACTACTATTATGGATTATAATATATATATAAAATAAAATCTTTATGCAAAAAATATAAAAAATAAAATTTCAGACCAGACCAGACAAGACCAAAACAGACCAGCAAATTACAGTCCAAGTAAAAACATCCTAATATGGCACAGAATAATATACTATATTGATTGTTATCATCTTCATTAGATAAAAAAATCAAGGACAAAAGAATGTTTATTTGATAACATTATACTACCTCCGTCCCCAAAAACTTTGCCATTTCAAAAAATTTGAACATTGATTTTGATTAGTGTAATATTATGAAAATTAAAAATTTTATACTTTTATGAAAGTACTTTTAACAACGAACATTTTCATATTTTTTTTATATTATAAATAATTTTCAATAAAAAAATATAATCGGTTAAAGTTTTGAAAATGGCAACGTTTTTTGGGAAAGAGGTAGTATCAGTTAATGTATCTCTAACCATTACCCCCATATACATAATCCTAATACAAACTGTTTTCAGAAATAGATTAATTTTATTTGTTGCCATGCAACACACGGGTTGATTGACTAGTAAAGATATAATTAAGTAGAGCGGACTTGGACACAGGCTGTAAACAAGGATGAACTCAAAATGTCCAAGCTGATATCTATATGATAATACTCAATGTATAATATACAGAAAATGACAAAAGTGGGGTAAAGATAGACTCCTATGATTTCCTAGATTCATGTAAATGAGTGGAAAAGGAAACTGATGGTAAAGATAATAAGTATGATTACTGCATCAATGTACCACAAGTAAACCTGGGCAATTATTTGTGGTTTACATTCAAGTGGATATGCAATGATATTCACGACGACACTGAGTAGAAACTCAAATTTCAAGCACAAATGCAGTGTAGTTTCCTATTAAACAGTATAGTGTAAATCCTTTAAAGAGTAGAAAATCAACGATTATGCAACCTTAACATCTGTTCCTCCTGTAGGCATGAATTCCTCATAAATATAGGAGCCCTCGCGCCTGACACTTCGAACCTCTGGATGGAACTTACTTGAGCGGTTACCGACCTGGAATAGTGTAAGCCAAGAGAGACATATAAGTAAATTTTCAAGTAGTTTACTGTTCACCTAAACAGTCTCATGTACATTTCTTTTACAGACTTTTTCCTATTCAACATACAAACATTGAATCAATTTTTGGAATTTATGTTCTGAATATCTACTTGATCATCAGATTTTTCTGAAGATTCAAGAATAAATTGGTCCATGATAGTGATTTGTCAATTTTGCGCTGGTAAAGTCTAGTTAGATTATCAATGTTATCATTTTATAAAGCACCGTAGCTCCAAATAATGTATTGCCAAGTTCCTTCTTCAAGATGCTTTGTCATGAAGTAACACAGAAGTTCAGTTCTTTCTTTTTTAAGAAAACGTTTTTTTGAATTGACTGGTATTTTATATACTACTCAAGTTTCACTTTATAGTTTATATCACTCTATGTTGATGTATATTATATGCAATAATCATACAATTTATCATAATTCTGTGCAGGATGGACATATTTGACACACTTCTTGATGGAGCTTGTTATTTGGGGTGCATGTTATTAGAAATCAAAAGTGTTCCTAGATTGCTTCCTTAGTGTTCAGAAAAATTAGAGGTGGATGGATTTCTTGCGTCCGTGCCAAGCTGACATATGCCCTAACTTAGTTTAAATACCTTCTCAATAGTGTAGTTCTTCAAACAAATAAAACTTTCAGTGATATTGTAGTTCATTTTCTCTTGTTGCTCCACCACACAAACATACATTACACCCCATTACCAGGAGGTAAATAGAAGGTGGTGCAAACACCAGAACTTTAGTAGGAGACTTAAACCCCATATTCCTAGAGTCTAAATATGTTCTTGTAGTTTTTGTCTTAAGCACCAGTAAGCTGAGCCAAGGCAATTGAACCACTATTATCAGGGTACAAGTTGGGCACTGTAAGGCTATGCGTCATTCTAAAAGTTTTACCTTCCTGAATAATTCTTTCATTCCTCCCCCTGCTGAGCTGGGATAGTATATCATTATACTGTGGTCATCAGCTGAACAAAAACAAAAACAGAAAAAAAAAATAGGATGATTATGTGTCCAAAAAATGGCATTTGCACAGGAGAAGAGATGGCACACTTTTGATGCATGAAGAAAAAGAGTGGAAATGGCGTATAATCGGTATAAATGAATTACTAAGTGTTTATTTGATGTCAAGTATCAACAGTAAATTTCTGAGTTACATTAGAATTCATAAAAAGAAATTTGAGTTTCTCAAGGAACTCTTTTATAGTTTTCCTCTTTAGTAGTCATTAAACATGCATCATGTTCATAATAGGAATATTAACTTGATGAAGAATGCTTAGAAAGGAAAGTTGGACCTTCAGTAAACTTTCACAGCAAACTACAACAATAAAGATGTTTCTATGAGCCAAGATTGTCTTCAGAAATTTAAGAGTGTAGAAGAAGTCACCATCAACAGGTTTCTCGACAAAAGGTTTCCAGAAGCGATTCCCGTGAACTTCAACAAAATCCTCTTCCTCAACGAAATAATCTAGCTCTTGATAGGGTACTTCCCTATTTACACAGGCATACCTTGGGACTGGAATTCCACACATCTCAAGGCGCTGGAACTCCGAAAAAGGTTTACTTAAGAGAACATGAATCGAACATCAATAGGGGGAAGGGGGGTTGTTAATTTAATAAAGGAAATATCATTCCTCTTTATAATTAATGTACTAGTGAAATAGAAGCAAACAGAAAGGGACAAAAAGAAAACATTTTTTTGCATGCTAATTCAAAGGAATATAATCACCTAATATGAACGGGTAACTAACCACAGAAGTAATCCCATACTGGTGGATCAGCATAGAAGGGAGAAGTTTCATAGGACAAAACGAAACTGAAGGTGTAAACAACAATAATGAAGAAAAATACATAGAAGAGTTCATAATCTGAAAGCTCCAGACAGCTTCCTTATTTGATTCTTTGTTACCCAACAGACTAAATGAAGTTGAGGCAAGTGATTATAGGCACACCTGGTACACTTTCCTTCGATCATGGAGAAGATGTTGTAGCTCCAATTCATTTACAAGGAAAGGCCTAAATTAATATAATACACATTTACTTGCAAACTCACTTCAAGGCATGTAAAGGCACAATACACCTCTTAAGGGTTGTAAATAGCAATGCAACCCTAACTCTTCCTAGATGACAATTGAACACCTACAAACTTCAAGTCTTAAAGTGTGTAAGAATAACATATGAGCTCATAGTCATATGAAATATCAATACAAGCAGCACTAGTACACAAGGAATTACATCTAATAAAAGTTGTATTCATAATTATGTGCTCGATATTGTGATGGTTTTGCATTTAATTACAAAAACAACGAATTTCTCACTTCTTTTCACTCTTCAGAAAATAATACTCCCTCCGTCCCCCTAACTTTGTCCCTCCGTACCATATTTGGTAATATTTGAGTGGTTACAATTCATTCTTACTTTATTCACACTTTATCAATTCTTCATCGACCACACAATTCCACTTTTCTTAAAAATCGCACCACACCCTCTTATCTCAATCTTAGTGGGACAAAGTAGCAACTCTTTTCTCCAACAGACTGAAAATTTGTGAAAGAGAGAGAGTTTTTATATACACAGATGACACCTCTCTCATCTACATGCGTAGTTCCAAAGTATGAAATCTGAAAAATAAATTAAATAACAGTGCGACGAGTATAACAGCTTCGATCCACTTGCATCAGAATTAATTAAAGAGTACATTAGTACTTACTTTCTTAATGCAGCATATGCTTCAGCCTTCTTCAGAGGATAACCACTAGAATGGAAGGCAATCAAACAATCGCAGATTGGCCAGCTGCAATAAAAACAAATCTTCCCAATTACTCCATCTGCCCTACATTAAGTTCAGGTATTCCTTTTTGTTCTGTCCCTAAATAAAGCCATTTTTCCTTGTTTCATAAAACTAAAAGGTTTAATACTTGACTACCCTCATTTATTATACCCACTTAACACCACTATTAATCCCAACCGCATATCAAAAGGGCAGAGAACAACAATACATATTTAAAAAAACTGCAGATGCCAAAAAAAGAACTTTAAATAGGAACGGATCCATCGATTATATATAATCAGATTATACGAACATTACGTTAACTTTGAAATTCAAGAACTTTTAGAGCACCATGCATATCACCAGTCATTAGTGTTATACAGAACGCATCAGTAATAATCAATATACACAGTGTTATACAAACACAAAAGTGAAAAGCAGAATGTTGCATTGGATAAACAAATATATAAGTAAATTGTCGTAAGCCTAAATTAAGAAACCACAAATTAGCTAAGCCTGGAATATACCTCTCAATTGGACTCTCAAGGATAACATTGTCACCAAAGTGCAGAACCTGAAGTACAATAAGGCATTATGAGAAGCATCATATAGGCTTAAAACAAGCCAACTTGGCCATTGTAGCTTAAACAAAGTCGCATAGGGTGCTGCAAAAGTTCCACAGAGCCTCCACTTCAAAATTCAAACGGAATTCGCTCATCTCCATGAGCGCGAGAGTTTCACATTTCCAGATAGCTAGACGAATGAATAGAGATACGTGAATACCTCAAATTCGCCGAATGACTGTAATCTGTCCAGAATGTGCCCCATGGGAGCAGAAAAAACCTGAAATCAACACAACAAAGCGGCGTGAAATCAATGATAAGCTGAAAAGCAAATACATCATTATGCGGTGCATGGTCAGCAAAATATACAGATAGCATTTCTCCGTTGACGATACAAATATGAATGAAAGAAGCCCAAAAGTACAGAACCTCTGAGCCGCATTTCACCTTCTTTTCCATTACGCACACTCCGATCTTTATCTTCACTCCGACATTGCCCTTTACCGCGTCCATGTCTCGTCTTCTCCTTCGAGATATGTGTCTGTGTACGTCTCTGCTCTATCTATATGCGCTTATATAGATCTCCTCCAAGTCGCATCACTACTCGGGATTTCCAGGAACTGAGATAAACGTGAATGCCAGCGAGCATTCATATAATCTGCATCATATCAGACGTTTAGAAAACGAAACGGAAGGAAATGAAATGAGGTGGGGCGTGAACACTAAAAACGTGATTGTTTCGTTGAATACAGGTAACAGGAAGCACGGATTTCGGCCAACAAGTACTTGAAAGTTGAAACTTTGCCAGTCACGAAATAGTATGTTAGTCTCTCTTTCCCGAATTGAATTACAAACTTTTACATCTTTCAACAAGGAAGGACGCTTGTTTTTTACATTTTTGCGCCATCTTTCTAAAAATAGATGTGTTATGGGGATAAAGTAAAAGTAAATGTAAATTTGACACTTTATTCTTAATTACATATCTAAAAAAGAAAGTGGAAAACCATTTTGGGACAATCAAAATATGAAATTTTGCAAATCAAATTGGGACAGAAGGAGTAATAATCAGTACTCCCTAATAATAGTAATAGTATTAATAATGTTACAAAATATTATGTGGTATTATGTACAAAAAATGATTGCACTCATTTAATTTTAGAAGTTTTTCAAAAATATTACTTGAAAATAAAACTATTTATAAAAGTATGACTAAATTTATTATGGGTATAATGTCATTGTTATTTTAGTGCAAAAGATAAACATGAGTCATTAATTATTATGACTAAAGTTATTACATGGTCACACTTTTATAAACAATTTTTATTTTAGTCATAAATATTACGGAGCACATTCGTTCTTAAATAAATGCAACATATTGAATTTTACATTATTCACATGTTCTACTTTGACTATGTTTTATTTATTAATGTATTAATATATTTTTTGAAAAAATTAATATTTTATTAGTTCATACTACTTGAATTGGCCCTATTTATTTAGTCATCTTTGACTTTTCCAGTCAAAGATATAAACTTTGGTCCATTATTTTAGCTAATATATTTATGTGAAATATAATAAATTTATACTTTTATGATAGTATTTTTAACAAAGAATATTTTAGTATCACTTCCAATTATCATTATTACCAGGGGCGGACCCACTAAGGGTCCCACGGGGTCCCGGGATCCCGCGTACTTCCAAAAAAATACCTATATATTTTATTTAAAATTTACTTATAAATGTATATATAACACAAAAACAAGTATGAATTCCAAAGAATGGAGCAGAGTGATAAGCACAATAATTACTTATGTTTTACATAGGTAACTATATTTATCCGCACAAAAATATAGAGCGAAAACAGGTAAATATTCCAAAGTGTTCAAAAATGTGGAATATGGCTAGGAGCAACAAAAAAGGAGTCAAAAGTCAAAAGGGATCGAAAATCGGCACTTCTGGATAAATCGGAGGCACGAAGTTGAGAAGAAAAAGGAAGTAAACAATTTGGCGCAGTAACCGGCGCCGGACACACTCCAACCGGCGCCGGTTGGATTTTATTTTCCGAAAAAATACACATGACCGGCGCCGGTAAGGCCAGAACCGGCGCCGGTTGGGTCGGATTCTTCTAAAAACACAGCAACGTGCTAGACGATTTTTGATGGGAAAACTTCATCTTCCTCAATGCTAATCAAATATTGCTTCCATATCTGATTGTTGGGTTCGAATAGACTAAAAGATGCCAATCTTTAGCCTATATAAACCCCTCAATTCATCATGCAAATACATTCCATTCCATAGATTAATTCTAGTTTTTTATATTTTGTTCTTGTATTTGTTCTTCAAGTTCTTTGGAGAAGAAATCATTTCTCTCCTCTACAATTGGTTCTAGGTAATATTTCTTGTATGTTATTGTATTTCCTTGTTCTTAGTTACACTTTTGTAATTAATATGAGCATTAGTAGCTAATTTCTTAGCTAAGGCTAGGGATGAACTTCTATGCCCACTAGGTGTTTGATAAAAGTTCTAAACCAATAAATTGTGATTTATCCTTTATATATTGATTGTTTATGACTATGGTGTACAACATAGAAGTATGTTAAATTTAGTTTATACTTGCAATTAACGTTGAAGTCTAGACTATGAACACTAAAGGATAAACATATATAGTACCGAGAATAGAAATATATCCGGTCTTATATGATACGGGTGTGATGTCTTGATATTCAACGGGGTTTTCGGTAGATGAATGTAAGTCGTAACGGGACTTACACGTAACGAAAACCACGCTCTCGCTGCCTTAACCGGAGTTGAGAATATATTAGCGACATCGTATTCATAATTATTGGTAAAGAACTAATATTCAACCCTATTAAAGCATTTAAGTGATTCCCGAAGCCTTAGTTGTTGTTATTATTCATCTCAAACTCAAAATTAGTTAACAATTATCTTCTTGAACAAAAAGTGAAAAAACCAAAAATATAAAACACAAATCAAAATCCCTACACTTTACTCATTTATTTTATTTAAATTCATCTACTCTCGGACTAAATTAAACAACGTTTCGCTATGGATTCGACCCGGTATTTTACCGGAATTTATTACTATATCGGCACTTGTACACTTGCAAGTTTAGCCCGATCAAGTTTTTGGCGCCGTTGCCGGGGAAACGGTCTTGTTTAATAAAGTCAAAAAAAAAAACTAATAAACCCTAAATTTATTCTTCACAACTTCACTTGATCTTGGAAGGATTTATTTTTGTGTGTGTAGATATTCCTTTGTGCTTGCATGCATTTGAGAAGTCAAGGTTCTAAATTTCTTGAACCACTTGATCTTGAAATAGAAAGAACGTGCAAACACATTCGGAAGGAACAAAAAGCTACAAAGATGTTGCCAACATTGAACGAAAGGAAGATACCCGTGGTGGCCGCCACGCCATCTTGCATCACTTTGAGCGAGGAAGCAAGAGACTATGAGCTAAGGCAAAGCTACTTCAACGATATGCCTCAGTTTCATGGATTACTTGGGGAAAACCCACTCAACTTCATCACGGAATTCTACGGATTCATTCAAGGAATCCCTAGAAATGGCTTGGCGGAGGTCAACTTAAGCTCAAATGCTTCCCCTATACTCTTAAAGGGGCGGCAAGAGGATGGTTCCTAGAACAAGCTCCGGCAAGTTACACAACATGGGAAGGTATATACAATGCTTTCATGTCTAAATACTACACGCCCACCATGACTCAAGAGCTTAGACAACGCATTTTCAATTTCAAACAACAAAATGGTGAGCTCTTTCAAGATGCATGGCGGCGTTTCAAATCATTGCTAAGGGAATGCCCACATCACCGCATTCCCCTAGACCTTCAAATTGATACGTTCTACAATGGTTTGAATGCATCTTGCCAAGCCATTGTGGACAACCGAGCCGAGGGCTATATTGGCAACAAGAATGAAACCGAAGCACTCCGAATCATTGAATCCATTGCTTCGAATCCTCAACTCCAAGGAGGAGATTACAAAGTGGTCGGGATTAATGAAATCTCCATCACGACGGAGATAAACAAAAGACTTGAAGAAATGGAATCAAAGATTGAACACAAGTTCCAAACGGCTCTACAAGCCGTATTGGGAGGAGTCAAGCAAATAGCCAACGTAGAGAGCATACCATGTCCGGAAAGTGATTTATCCCAACATCTTGAAGAGGTAAATTATATGAACTCTTACGGGAATCGGGGGAACAATAACTATTCAAATCAACAAAGGTGGAAGCCACAAGCTAGTTCCTCACAACCCCAATCCGGAGCACCTAATTTTGGGCAAACCAAGGAGACCACCATGGAGGATATGATGCAATTCATGTCCAAAAGCATGGCAAGCATGAAGGCTCAAAATGAGGAGAATCACCATAGAGTGGAGGCATCCATTGGGAATCTTCACTCTCAATTCACCAAGTTGGATCTTCGCTTTGAAGATCAAAATATAAAGCTTAATCAACGCATCGACACCATTGAGCAATACACCAAGGCATCCATTCGGAATCTTGAAGTTCAAATGGGACAACTTGCCCAAAAAGTAAGTTCTAGGGAGCAAGGCAAATTTCCTACAACCACGGAGATGAATCCGAGGGAAAACGTAATGGCCATTACCACAAGGAGTGGTAAGACAACGGAGGATCCAAAGATGCCGGAAGAGGAGGAGATCCCGGAAAAACAAAAAGAAGGTGAAAGTGAGGAGCATATGATGCCACCATCGAACATGGCTAATTATGTTCCTCCCATTCCATATCCTCAAAGGTTAAAGAAAAAGAATGATGGTGCTCAATATAGAAAATTTCTTGATATTTTTACTAAATTGAGCATCAACATTCCATTTGCCGAAGCTATAGCGGAAATTCCATCTTATGCCAAATTCTTGAAGGGTATTCTCTCAAATAAGAAAAAATTGGCGGAATTTGCTACCATTGCCCTCACGGAGGAGTGTAGTGCTACCCTACAAAACAAACTCCCTCCTAAATTGAAGGACCCCGGAAGCTTCACGGTACCGTGTTCTATCGGCAAAATTGGAGAGGTAAGATCCCTTTGTGATCTTGGTGCTAGTATCAACCTCATGCCCCATTCTTTATTTAAAAAGATTGGTGTGGGGGGACTGCAATCTACTACAATAGCTTTACAACTAGCGGATAGATCAATCCGCTACCCTATTGGAGTTATGGAGGATGTGCTTGTCAAAGTTGGGAAATTCTATTTTCCTGTGGATTTTCTTATTTTAGAAATGGAGGAAATGGAGATCCCGATTATTCTTGGAAGAACATTTCTAGCCACTGCAGCAGCCCTCATTGATGTCAAAAACGGAATTGTCAAATTCCGTGTTGGAGATGAAGAACAAGAGTTTCATGTTTGGGACTCCCTGAAAAAGCACCATGATGAACCCTCTTGTTTTAGCATTGACATTCTTGACACATTAACTCAAGAATGCTTTGGAAAGATGATTCATGAAGATCCCTTGGAGACTTGCATCATGCTAGGGTGCAATGAAAAAGAAGAAAGCCATGAACTTCTTGAAGAAGCTATGTACTTGCAAGCCGGAGCTCCTTTCAAACATTTCCGACAAAAATTTGAAGATCTTGGAACAAGTAAGTCCACATTAAAACCATCTATTGAAGTTCCACCAAAACCATCTTTGAAAACTCTACCGGAGCATCTCAAATATGCATTTCTTGGAGATAACTCAACTTTCCCGGTAGTAATTTCTTCTTCACTCACATCTCTACAAGAAGAAAAATTACTACGGGTATTGAGAGAGCACAAAACATCCATTGCATGGTCCTTGGCGGATATCAAGGGTATTAGCCCTTCTCTTTGCATGCACCGGATTTCTGGGGAGGAAAATCATAAACCTACGGTAGAACACCAAAGGCGGCTAAACCCCAACATGAAAGAGGTAGTTAAGGAGGAAGTTCTCAAACTCCTTGACTATGGTATAATTTACCCCATTTCGGATAGTAAATTTGTAAGCCCCGTTCAAGTCGTACCAAAGAAGGGTGGAATCACGGTGGTGGCCAATAGTAAGAATGAATTAATTCCTACTAGAATGGTCACCGGTTGGAGGATGTGCATAGACTACCGGAAATTAAACTCCGGCACAAGGAAGGACCACTTTCCCCTTCCATTCATGGATGAGATGTTGGAGCGTGTTGCGGGCAATGAATTCTTTTGTTTCTTGGATGAGTTCTCCGACTATTTTCAAATAGCTATCTCTCCCGAGGATCAAGAAAAGACAACATTCACATGTCCTTTTGGCACATTTGCCTATAGAAGGATGCCGTTCGGATTATGCAACGCCCCCGGAACATTTCAAAGATGTGTCATGGCAATTTTTGCGGATATGGTGGGGGACTTCATGGAGGTATTCATGGATGATTTTTCTGTTTTTGGAAATTCTTTTGAGTCATGTTTACTTTCCCTTGAGAAAGTATTAACTCGGTGTGAAGAAACCGACTTGGCTCTCAATTGGGAGAAATGTCATTTCATGGTGACCGAAGGGATTGTCTTGGGGCACAAAATTTCCCCCAATGGCATTGAAGTAGACCAAGCAAAAATTGAAGTCATAAAGAAGCTACCTCCTCCACACTCGGTGAAAGCTATCCGGAGTTTTCTAGGGCATGCCGGTTTTTACCGGCGATTCATCAAAGATTTCTCTAAAATCGCCAAACCTCTATGCGATTTATTAGCCAAAGATGTCCCATTTGAAATCACCCCAACTCGGCTCAAAGCTTTCAACACTCTAAAGAAAGCTCTCACAACGGCTCCTATTATCACATCACCAGATTGGTCTCTTCCATTCGAATTGATGTGTGATGCAAGCGATCATGCTATTGGTGTAGTACTTGGGCAAAGAAAAGAAAAGAAACTTCATGCCATATACTATGCATCGAGGTTGCTCCATGACGCAGAGCTCAATTATGCCACCACCGAGAAGGAATTCTTAGCCGTCATCTATGCTTTTGACAAATTCCGATCATACCTAATCGGCCAAAAAGTGATTGTTTATACCGATCACTCCGCCATCAAATATCTCATGAACAAGAAGGATGCCAAACCAAGGTTAATTCGTTGGGTTTTACTACTCCAAGAATTTGACCTTGAAATCCGAGACAAAAAAGGGAGTGAAAATCATGTGGCAGATCATCTTTCACGACTTGAAAGCACCCCAAATGACAAGAAGGAGGAGGAGATACGAGACGATTTCCCATATGAACAAATCATGGCTATCAAAGAGGTACAACTACCATGGTTCACTGATTTCATTAATTTTCTTGCAAAAGAAATTCTCCCTTCATCACTCACTTTCCATCAAAGGAAGAAATTCATAAGTGATGTGAAACATTACTATTGGGATGAACCATATCTGTTCAAACATTGTGCCGACGGAATTATTAGAAGATGCATCCCCGATGAGGAAATTATGTCTGTTTTGAACCATTGCCACAACCTTCCTTGTGGTGGCCACCATGGTCCGGATCGGACAGCGGCGAAGGTGCTCCAATGTGGTTTTTTTTGGCCAACTCTATTCAAAGATGCAAGGAGTTATGTGAAAGTTTGTGACCGATGTCAAAGAACCGGAAATCTTAGCCGAAGGAATGAAATGCCTCAAAATATGATCCTTGTGGTTGAGCTCTTTGATGTATGGGGATTGGATTTCATGGGACCTTTCCCTAAATCATACGGGAAAAGCTATATCCTTGTAGCAGTAGACTACGTCTCCAAGTGGGTGGAGGCAATAGCTCTACCCGACAACACAAGCAAAAGTGTGGGGGAATTCGTGAAGAAAAACATTTTTTCACGTTTCGGTGTGCCCCGTACCATCATAAGTGACAATGGCACACATTTCAAGAATGCCCAATTTTCTGGCTTGCTAAAGAAATATGGGTGCAATTTCCGAACCGGGGCAGCCTATCATCCACAAACCAATGGGCAAGTTGAAGTATCCAATCGAGAGATTAAATCAATTCTAGAGAAAACAGTCACCACCTCTAGAAAAGATTGGGCATTAAAATTAGATGATGCGCTATGGGCATACCGGACGGCTTACAAAACACCGTTGGGTATGTCGCCATACCGGCTTGTTTATGGGAAGTCATGCCATCTTCCCGTAGAACTTGAACACAAAGCACAGTGGGCACTCTCCAAGCTAAATCTTGAGCCTGCACTCTCAAGGGAGAGGAGGATGTTCCAAATGGCAGAACTTGAAGAACTCCGAAGGGATGCATATGAGAATTCCCGCATCTACAAGGAAAGGGCAAAAGCTTGGCATGACAAAAACATCAACCGAATGGATTTCTACGTCGGCCAAAAGGTACTACTCTTCAACTCTAGACTTCGCCTTTTTCCCGGAAAGCTAAAAACCCGATGGTCGGGACCATTCACAATCACTGAGGTCCGACCATACGGCTCAATGATGATTCAAAATGGTGATCAAACACCATTTCTTGTAAATGGTCACCGACTTAAGCCATACATGGAGTACCATAACACCTTGGCAACCACCACTTGCCAATTGAAGGACTAAAAAGGTACGTTGCGTCCGGCCTATGACGTTAAACTGAGCGCTAATTGGGAGGCAACCCAACAACAACAAAAAAATTCAATTATAAATAAGGATGTTTGGTCATGCATATTCATTTTTATTTATAAATTGAATAAAAATCAATTATAAATAAATCTGTTTACAAACATTCACGTTTATTTATAATTGAAAAAAAAAATATAAAATTTTCAACGACCGGCGCCGGTCGGCCACATAACCGGCGCCGTACGATTCCAGAGACTTTAGGGTGTTGGCGTTCACACGTAACCGGCGCCGGACACCCTACAACCGGCGCCGGTCGGGCCGGTTAAAATCACAAACAGGTCGCATTTCAGACCTCATTTTCGAACCCTTCCCCCAAACTTTGAGAACCCTTCGCCGGAAAACACCCCCAAACGCCCAAATCCACCCGCCAAAGCCAAAAATCACTCTTAGGAGCTCGGATTCAACATCAAACATCACTTCTCAATCTTCTTCGCCCCTATTTGAACATCAATTCAAGGTATTTTAGCTTTAATCCCAATTTTCTCTAATTTTTGAAATCTTCTATTTCTTTAAATTTTTGGCAAAATAGATGATTATCATTGATGAAAATTATTTTCATATGCTCATTTGATGTATATAACCTTGTTTGTTGCCAAAAATTTTGAGATTAAAGTTCAAAATTAGGGGAAGTTCTTGAAAAAAAAATTCTAAGAACCCTAATTTCGAATTTCTTGTTCATTGATGAATTGCTCTATATAATTGATGTTTAGAAGCATATTGATATGATTTATTGTTGATATATAGTCTTCTAAACATAATTATTGAAAGAAATTTGTGCATGAACATGAGATTTGGGGAAATTGATAAACCTAAATTACCTTGAGTGGATGAATATATGTTGTGTTGCATATGTGTTGAACTAATTTTACAGGTCCATGGCACCCAAACGAGGAAAAGGTGCTAGCTCTTCTTCTTCTTCTTCCGTGCCCCGTTTCACCTCCCCGGAGAATGAAGCGTGGTACGAGACGAGAAAGAAATGGAAAATTGTCATTGAGAAAACTGTGGATCCGCAACTAAATGAACTCTACCGGATCTCCGAGGCGTTTGACGTTCTAGGGTGGGCTATCATGCTCACTCTAACTGGAGCATACTACCCGCGGCTTGTGCGGGAATTCTACGCCAACATTGAAAGGAAGAATGACCCCTACGGTGACATTGAAAGCACCGTCAAAGGTACAAAAATCACGGTGAGCGAACGCCGACTTTGCAACCTACTCAACATCGTTGACGTAGGTACTCCCTTTTCCATGAACTCTCAAGTGGTGCTAAGCGACCTTGACTATGACGAAATAAGGGCAATGCAACTGTCCGGCGTCAATGAAGATCTTAGGGCCAAGACCCTAAATGTTCGGGAGAGACTAATCGTGTACCTTCTTGGTTTCAACATCCTGCCACGAGCTAGTGACACACACCTCATCCGACGGGTAGACCTCTACCTTTTGCACAAGATGGTCACCGGGCTCGGGCAGATTCGAGGCGTCCCCTTGGCCCCTCTTATCATGATGGACATGAAGAGCGTAGTCAAGACCAAAAGAGGTGACAAAAATTTCATTTACCCTCTTTTACTCACTATGATCTTCAGGAGCTTCGGCGTTGACCTTGAAAATGAAGAGGTGGAGTACACGACCGGATCCCAAGTACTCAATGCAAACACTATGGTCGCTCTCCACTACAAAAAGGTGGGGACACGTGGATACGAAAGGAGGAAGGGGATGACGAGGAGCAAGAAGTTGGAGATGAAGAGATGGGTGAAGCTCAACCACAACCGGCAGCCCGGCCACGGCGGACCATGACACAAAGCCTTGATTATCTAATCAACTCCATGGACCGGATGCACACAAGAATGGATACCTACGAGACTCGGCAAGAAGAACTTTACAACCGTTTCGACACCTTTGAGACACGTCAAGCGCAAATGGCGGAGCAATTCCAGGGGATTGACCAAAGGTTTGGGGACTTCACCCAACACTACTATAACCAATACGGGTATCCCCCTCCCGATCCACATCATTAAGTACCCCTTTGTTGTTATTTTCTAACACTCCTCTCCTCTAAACACACTTAATCGTGGATATTATTGGAAGTGTTTGTTTATTATGCATCATACATTGGGACAATGTATCTTAAGTGTGGGGGGGTGCATCTCATGGTGGTTAAACAAATTTTTTGTGCAAAATATTTTTGTTTTTAGGAAAGTAAAAAAAATTATTATCTCTCTTTTTAATAGGCATTCGGTTGAGAAAGTTTTTTTTTATTATTACACACAAAACTATCATTTTTTTTAGACTTATTACACTACTTTTTACTCTTGAAAATAACTCCCAAAAAAAGAAAAAAAAAATAAACCTTGTGACTAGAAAACATCATCCTCTTTCACTTCCAAATATGGTCAAAAAAAAATTCATCTCAAATATTCAAGAACCATTTTGGAGTAGAAAACATTCTCATTTCTCATCAAATAATTTGGGACTACCAAAATGACCTTCAGTAAATACTTGTTGAGAACCATTCCAAATGAGTTATAAAAAAAAGAGAGAGAATAGCTCATGGTCTCTTTCAAGAATCCCAATTGATCCATTTCTATACTGAAAAGTCAAAAACTCCCAAACGAAAACCGTTCTACACATCCAAAAAAAAAAAAAAAAACCAGTCACAATCCACTCACCAATTCAAGAGTATTAGTAATTTTTCTAAAATCTAATGATATTTTTTGTGTGTGTAATAAAAAAAAAGGGGTTTTGGACCGAGAATGATAAAAGAGTTATATACTTTTTTTTTACCTCTCTTGAAATTGAAAATATTTTTGTGCATATATATTTGTCAAACTAACCAAGGGATCCAAGACTGAAGATTTGCTCGAGGACTAGCAACGCTCAAGTGTGGGGGAATTTGATAAGCACAATAATTACTTATGTTTTACATAGGTAACTATATTTATCCGCACAAAAATATAGAGCGAAAACAGGTAAATATTCCAAAGTGTTCAAAAATGTGGAATATGGCTAGGAGCAACGAAAAAGGAGTCAAAAGTCAAAAGGGATCGAAAATCGGCACTTCTGGATAAATCGGAGGCACGAAGTTGAGAAGAAAAAGGAAGTAAACAATTTGGCGCAGTAACCGGCGCCGGACACACTCCAACCGGCGCCGGTTGGATTTTATTTTCCGAAAAAATACACATGACCGGCGCCGGTCAGGCCAGAACCGGCGCCGGTTGGGTCGGATTCTGCTAAAAACACAGCAACGTGCTAGACGATTTTTGATGGGAAAACTTCATCTTCCTCAATGCTAATCAAATATTGCTTCCATATCTGATTGTTGGGTTCGAATAGACTAAAAGATGCCAATCTTTAGCCTATATAAACCCCTCAATTCATCATGCAAATACATTCCATTCCATAGATTAATTCTAGTTTTTTATATTTTGTTCTTGTATTTGTTCTTCAAGTTCTTTGGAGAAGAAATCATTTCTCTCCTCTACAATTGGTTCTAGGTAATATTTCTTGTATGTTATTGTATTTCCTTGTTCTTAGTTACACTTTTGTAATTAATATGAGCATTAGTAGCTAATTTCTTAGCTAAGGCTAGGGATGAACTTCTATGCCCACTAGGTGTTTGATAAAAGTTTTAAACCAATAAATTGTGATTTATCCTTTATATATTGATTGTTTATGACTATGGTGTACAACATAGAAGTATGTTAAATTTAGTTTATACTTGCAATTAACGTTGAAGTCTAGACTATGAACACTAAAGGATAAACATATATAGTACCGAGAATAGAAATATATCCGGTCTTATATGATACGGGTGTGATGTCTTGATATTCAACGGGGTTTTCGGTAGATGAATGTAAGTCGTAACGGGACTTACACGTAACGAAAACCACGCTCTCGCTGCCTTAACCGGAGTTGAGAATATATTAGCGACATCGTATTCATAATTATTGGTAAAGAACTAATATTCAACCCTATTAAAGCATTTAAGTGATTCCCGAAGCCTTAGTTGTTGTTATTATTCATCTCAAACTCAAAATTAGTTAACAATTATCTTCTTGAACAAAAAGTGAAAAAACCAAAAATATAAAACACAAATCAAAATCCCTACACTTTACTCATTTATTTTATTTAAATTCATCTACTCTCGGACTAAATTAAACAACGTTTCCCTGTGGATTCGACCCGGTATTTTACCGGAATTTATTACTATATCGGCACTTGTACACTTGCAAATTTAGCCCGATCACAGAGCAACGGAGGAAAGCCTTTAAAAACCTTTACTTTTCGTGGAGGTGCAAGGATCGATTCCCTCTCACTCCTATTCCTCTTTTTTTGATTTATTATTGCAAAAGATCACAACTACATTCTTTTGCCTGTTTTAAAAATCCTCAACTTTACACTTTACATAATTCAATTAATTATTAAAATTTCTATTATGATTTTCCATTATTAAGTGAAGAATTGAATAAAATAATCCGTGAATATGAAATTAATTTGACTGACAATACACATAATCAACATGTTTATTTTGAATCTTTAGAAGCTTATCCTGGTTTGAGAAAAAAAATTGTTGATTTGCATCATAATGTTCAAGATGAGTTGCGTCATAGTATGGACTATGAAACGTTGTACTACTTTAATATTTGGAATTTTATCAATTCAAAACTTGAAAGGTAAATGAATTATCAATCCGAGACCTGAAAGAAGATATTTATAGATATAAGACTCAAATGATGAAAATTGTCAATTTAGGACTTGAATGATTAAAGACTATCAATCTTGGACCTATATTGTCATGAATTTTATTATTTTTATGTTAAAATTTTTAAATTTTATTTAGTCTTATTAAACTAATAAACTTTTGTGGAAAAAAGTTTATCAAAAATTAGCAAAGGAATTAATAAATAAATAAATAAATCAAAATCTATGAAATCTTAGATCCTAGATTGATAATTTTCATCTTTCGGGTACCGAATTTATAATTTATCTATCTATAAGGTCCTGAATTGATAAAAGTTCTTAATATTTTGATGATGTACATTAACTATGAAATGTTATGCTACTTTAATATTATATAATTACATTTTTTAAAATTTTTCATTGGTTAGACTAACATTAAGGTAGGGACCCCGTGACTCCGATTTTCTGGGTCCGCCACTGATTATTACCGTGTATAAAAATATATCATTTTTAAAAGTTTAACACAATTGACTTAAAAATAATGTTTGGCTAAATATAAAGCGACGGAGGGAGTAAAAGAAATCAATTATAGTCAAAATTTTGATCACATTCTATGAATAGTTCATAATGTTTATCCGTATTTGTCACCTAACCCATATCAAATTAACACTACCGGGGCCGACTACAAAAAAATACGGGATTGTCACGGAGTTTGGCACGGGCTTACCGATTTTTCGTGCCAAATAGCTCGTGCCAAAGTGTTTTTGGCACGAATTTGGCATTTCCCTGCCGAAATCCTTGTCAAATCCCTGCCAAATTCCCTGCCAATCCCATGGTTTTTTTGTAGTGCGCGGCATGCCCCTGGTGTTACACTACTTTGAGGTAATACTATATATATGTGTGTGTGTATGTGTGTGTGTCGCGAGTATCTTGTGGAAATTCTAACTACATTAAATTAAAATAGATTGTAATGACAACTTCATATTTTATTAGATAAAAACATGAAATTAAGATTTTTGTGTTAGGAAAAATGGTTTTACCTCAATATAATAGTCACCTTTGAGCAAAAATAAATAAAAGATTCACAATATGTTTGTGGTAGGACTAAGTCCCAACTTATATAACTCTGAAAGGTAAATGTAGTCATATATTAAAGTGTGCAAAACCGTATAGAAATGAATGAGAAATTGCTTTTCGAATTTGCCTAAAAACCAGTTTAATTCGGAAAAGACTTTATCCCACATCGAAAATGAAGGGTTAAGGAAGTTTCTTATATAAGCTTTCCATAACTATTGGGTTGGGTCCTTAGGGCACCCCGAAGTTTTGTTGAGCGGTGAGACCCGTATATGATGAACGTGGAGTTAACTCTTCATGCGCCGCCGTCCGGCAGGGTCGGATTCGGGTCTTTCACCGGTCAAACACTCCTCATGCCTAAAGCCAGAGCCCTATAAATACCCTCTCGGTCTACTGTTTCGGACAATCCAAAACTTCACTCTTGCTTCATTGCATCTTTGAGTTTGTCGGAGTCCCATCGGGAACGAAGAACCGCTCTATCCTGGAAGGCGTTTGCGTTTACGTGTGCCGGACAAAAACGTCTTAAGGAAACAACGTTTACGTTGGACTCAGTTTCAAGTAATTTTACGTTTTCCTTAATTAATCATTTGTTACTTCATTTGCATGCAGATATTTTACACACACTTAACAATTTCTGCTAAGTTTATTCTTTCGTCATTCCAATAGGACACCATAGACTTGCATTTAACTTAGTTTTTCCTGAAATATTACTAAAATGAAATTTGTAACTAAAAATACGATTAAGACAATCATGAGTACATATAATAATAGTATAGTACTAATAAAAAAATGATTATTAAATCATAATTTTGTCTACTAATCATATACTACCTCCATCCATTAAAACTTTGCCAAGTTTGACCGGCACGGGGATTAATAAAGTAAAAACTGTGTGGTTGAGGTTTGTGCAGAGGAGAGAGAATTAACTGGAACCACAAATTCTTACTTAAAAGGGAAAGTGACAAAATTAGTGGAACATCCAAAAAAAGAAAGTTAACAAAGTTTTAAGGAACGAAGAAAGTATATACTATATACTATTTCATTAATGGATTGCTTCAAAATAGAAGTAATCAAGTAAAGACAAGTTAGACAACATCATAAATAGGAGTAGGTCGAGTAGCTACTTTACTCTTGAAATAAAACTAAACGTACTATTTACTTCTATTAAGAACATAAATTTCCTAGTATATATTGTGAGTGAAAGAGTTGCACTTTAGATAGAAAAATGACTAGCTAAACACAACCCGCACGGGTAGCTGGTCGAGTGGTGGGAGATTTGGATCAATGGACCAAGGTTCGAATCCCCGCAGTGACCGGGTGGAGGTCACAGAACCTGAAATAAGGCTGGGCCTCTGGTGCGCACGGGTGTATGAGCCTACTACCATTCTGCTGACTGAGTCACCGTAACTAACATCCCCACCATCCTGTCGGGTCGGGGTGGGGGGCTCCTGGGGTGGGAGATTCCACCTTTTGGATCAATGACTAGCTATACACACACTGACACACACACACACATATATGATTTGATGAATTTTACATTCTGCTCGTTTTATTTAGGGATAAGGGTCAGATAGGGCCTTCAACTTGGGAAAAATGTCAAATAAGGTCATATTTAGGATGCTCTGTCCGGCCGACGCCATTTTGGGCGGTTCCCGGTGGAATTTTTTGATGGATTTTATTGAGAATCTTATTCATTAAGTCTAGTTTACTAATCAAATTTGAACTAAAACTTCAACCTTGAAGGCATACAAATGAATTCTTGAAGATAACTATGCAGATAGGGCCTTGAACTTGGAGAGCAGTTATCTTCAATAATTCATTTGAATGCCTTCCCGATTGAAGTTTTAGTTCAAATTTGATTAGTAAACTAGACTTAATGAATAAGATTCTCAAAAAAAAAATCATCAAAAATTTCCATCGGGAACCGCCCCAAATGACGTTGGCCGGACAGAGCATCCTAAATATGATCTTATTTGACATTTTTTCAAGTTTTAGGCCTTATCTGACGCTTATGAAATTTATGAAATTTCATTTTGGGCAATCAGCCTCCGACCAATGTGAGTGCGTGCATGCACGAAATTGACTATATGCTTTTATATTGTGTTGCCGATCGATGGAAGTAGATCAATTCCTCTAGGATGCACTCTAAGGCCTTGTTTAGTTCAAAGGAGGAGAGGGAAGGGGAGAGTCAAGGAGGGAAGGGAAGGGGAAGGAAGGATTTTGATAAAAAATTGTGTTTGGATGGAGGAAATAGGAGAAAATGTTCAATGAAAATATTTTCACAATTTGCTTCTATTTGATAGCTTACTTAAAAAAATAGATACATGTCTAACTATTGTGAATATTACTCTTATGGTCATGAGTCATAATTTTATTTTATTTGATTTTTTACTTTTTAAATTTTATAATTTTTCATTTTTCAGTTTGGATTTTTTTATTTTTATTTTTATTTTTAAGTTTTTTTAGTTTTAATTTTTAAAAATTTAAATTAATAATTTTTACATTTTTTAATTTTTAAAATTTTTAATTGTTAAATTTTTTAATCTTTAAATTTTTAATTTTTTTAATTTTTTAATTTTTCAAAACTTTTTGTTTTTTACCTTTTTATATTATAACCTTTTGTTCATTCACGTAGGAGATGTATAGTTTGTGGTTATCAACACGATTTCTCCGAAATACCCCGATTTGGGAGGTTTAGAATGGGAGGAAGTGGAAGATTTTAAAAGTCTTCCACTTTCCTCCCTTTCCCCCCTATTTCCTTCAACCAAACACACACAAGCCCCCCACTTTCCTTCCCTCCCCTCCGAAACCCTCCAACCAAACAACGCCTAAGTGATCAATTGAAGGAAAATTTCCAAAACGTTTTGAAAGTTTCACAAAATTATTAGAATAAAAATATATGTTTTATTTTAGAATTTCAAGATGTTATTTTTTCCTATTCAGGACAATTTTGAAAGAAAAACGCAACAACTAGGTAATATCACGAAAGAAGAGCCGTATACGGAGTACTATCCTCCGTTCCATAAAAGTTGCAAAGTTTGACTTTTACGTCTGCCAACACGCAGCTTTGACTGTAATTATATTTATTTACGTATTAGTAAACATTAAATAAAGTTAATATATTGGAAATTTACATTAATACAAATTTATTAATATTTTATACATAATATTTTTATTATATATATTATTAGAAAATCGTAGTCAAAGTAAGGTGTGTGAATAGTGCAGAAATTCCAACGTTGCAACTTTTATGGAATGGAGGAAGTATTATACTATGTACGGTATATGTAACTATGTAAGGGCTAGCGGACACCCGCACGGGTAGTTCAGTTGGTCGAGTGGTGGGAAATTGGACCAAGTAACCAAGGTTCGAAACCCGTAGCGGTCGTGTGGAGGTTACAGAAACTAAAATAAGGTTGGACCTCTGGTGCACACGTGTATAAAGTCTACCGCCGCTTTGCAAACTGAGTCACCGTGATTAAACTCCCCACAATTCTGTCGAGGTGGAGGACCCTGGGGTGGGAGATTCCACCTTTTGGACCAGGGCTAGCGGATTGATCTGGCATTCTGGTGGCCCACAACGTACATACTCCTCATCATGAGGGAGATTGATCGGATTGATCTCAATTAGAGTCCAAATAACTACAAAAAAAACGTTGGGGTTAATACGGGTACCTATATAGGATATTACTATATTAGGAATTTTGCTAAGAATTTTCTCATTAATTGTACTCTTATTACTATGTACTCTTATTTGTTAAGAATTTTGTTGAGGTATATACGCAGGACTGAGCTTCCACTTTTTAATGTGCTCTCTCCGCCGTTTATATTTTTATTATGGTCTTTACTCTTTTGAATGTCACACAAAAATTTTGTCATTTTCATTTTTAATCGATGAAATTGTGATTCTTATTATTTCTTTGTAAAGATCCGCGGTCAAGAAGTACTATTTCAATTTCTTTTTAGTTGCAACATGAACAACTTTACAATATTTACATGTTTTACTTTGATCATGTTTTATTTTTTAATGTGTGAGAATTATTTGTTCAAAAAATATTATTGAAATTGTCTCATTATAAATTTTCATAGTCAGTATGATATTTTTTTATTAATAGAAAATTGAATATAATGACAATAAAAGTTGTAGGTTAACAAGTATAAAAATGAGAGTGATGCAATCAAGAAACAATGACAAAGTATTAGGCTATTAGCTAGGTACGTAAGTATAGAGGTAGTAAAGTATAGGACTAAAATAAGTACAATATAATAAAAACATGAAAGAATTGCTTAAACAGGAGTAAAAAAGTTTTGAAATTCCAAAATAGAAGTATCATATTTTTTATTCCTTGAATAAGAGTAAATTTCTACCAAGTTTAGCATTATTAGGCTTTAAAACATGACATTTTTTTCCAAACTTGGCAGATTACTCTTATTCAGGTAATAAAAAATATGATATTCCTATTTTAGAATTTCAAAACATTTTTGCTCGCTACTCCGTATATTATATTAGTATAATAAGTATGTACTGTACTACGTACTATATACGGTACTAGGCACTCCTAAAAATTCGCCGCCTCGTACGTACGACGTACGATGAAGCAGCTACGGTTCAAATTCCGTGCCAGCGCAGCATTTCTCCTTTCCTACGATTAATAAGTTACATATACGTACGTCTAGCTCATCCAATCCACTCCCAAACCATTCAAAATCCTGCCGTGGGAATCGGACATAGCTCCCATAGCAACCACTCCCCACTTTTTTCTCGACCGTACGCCGGCCGGCCACATTAATTTTTATTAGGTTATCCTTCGCACCAAGTACACCGTACTGTACGTACTACTCAACCACGTAATAAAACTACGTACACCGCCCAGCACAGCAAATTAAATCTAAGACAGAAATGCCATCGACTTCATCATCGTCATCCTCTGCCTGTGCCGCCTGCAAGTACCAGCGGAGGAAGTGCGCGCCCGACTGCGTCCTCGCCCCTTATTTTCCGGCCAATCAGCCCAGAACTTTTCAGAACGCGCACCGCCTATTCGGGATCAGCAACATGACCAAACTTCTGAAGCAGCTCGAAGACGACGAGGACCAGAAGGCCGACGCCATGAAATCCATCATTTTCGAGGCCGATATGCGGGACCGCTTCCCCGTCTACGGCTGCGTCGAGTACATCTATTACCTCGATCAACAAATTAAGCAAGCCTCCGACGAGCTGCGATGCTTATATGCCCAACTCGCTTTTTACAGAGAACAATCGTTATTAGGGCCCGTTGATTCTGAGAATGAAGATCAGCATCACCAATTACAATATACGGCCGATTCATTACATCATTATTATGGAATTGTCAATAATAATTCAGCGGATGTATCTAGCCGCCATCCGATGAAGGTTAATACGTACGGTGATATTGATGAGGAGGATTTGGGCGAGGGAGGAGATCAAGATCAATCAAGTGAAAGTGTTGGAAAACCAAATGTTTTCAGTCTCCAACAACAGTGTTATCATAGAAATGATAATATGATATCTCTATCACCTTTTCTGGATGAAGCTTGTCTTCACCACTTTAATAGTGATGCTATCATCGATGATGGACAATCCTATATTGAAACGAAAGATACTTGCAACATGTCCAGGTACTACTATACCATTTCCTTCGTAATTTTTCTTATTAATTACGGAGTACGTAGCCGCATGAAACAAAACATTATTTAGATTTCACGCAAATCCCTACACAAAAATACTAATAGTAGTATTAATTAAGTTTTCTACTTAATCCCTAAGTTTCTAGGTAAGTTTCAAGAGTTGTCACCACTAAAATTTGGGTAAGTTTTAGAAGTATAGATGGTTCCCCTATATTGAAATTTTCTAGTTAAAATTTAGTGTGTGTAAGTCTACTTTGATAAACGTTTCAAATATTTTACTATTGTCGTAATCTGATATATTCAGATTTGAATATAACAGGGCCGACCTATAATAGTATTGATATACTCCGGTATTAATTGGTGGGCGTAGTTCAACTGATAGCGAGAGAGTGTCACAAGAGTTAGGTCCCGGGTTCGAATCCCGACAACTGCGATGAGAGATTATTATCCTAAAATGCATAAGACCTCTTCAAGCAATGACGGATCTTGCAACTGGAAATTGGGTGTTCAAAAAAATTATGTTTTAAATATTGAACAATACGGAGTAATTTTTTCGATACCACAATTGAAAGAATGTAGTTTGTTCAACCACAAAAAAACTAGGAAAAAAAGGTTAAGGTAACAAACATTATATAAAAAATACAACATATGAATTATGATATCAATTCTATACATGTATTTTTACATCTTATTTTTAAAATTTTGAGTGTTCGCCTGAACACCCTTGAACAATAGCACGTCTGCCATTGTCTTCAAGTACCGGGGACAGAATTCATTCTTTATCTGTCAGATTGAGATTATAATCCAATTTACATATTCCAACTTATTGTCCGATCCGGGTTGGGGGCCGGTATTAAGCCATGTGCAAGAAAAGAGGCCAAAAATCAAATTAGTAAATAATTAAGTTAGGAAATACTACGTAGGAAACAATCCGCACCCATTTCACCGGTGGTTACAAAGTACTCCGTAGAAGTTATTAATCTTCTAAATTTCTTATGTTTCATCTTCTTGATTATCATGTAACTGATGTAAGAGAAATATTCGTGTCCGTAATTCCAGACAGGAATCGCCGTTCGCGTTTTGGCCTTTTCTCGGTTGACTTTTTTGATGAAATTTTTATGACATGTTCTTCATCAAGTTCAATTTATCCACAAAATAATTCAGCTAAAACTTCATTTGACGGCCTTTCCGATTGAATTTTTGGAAGTTAATTGCGTTTTATATATATCTTTTAAGCGCAGTTATCTTCAAAAAATCATTTGACGGTCTTTCCGATTGAATTTTTAACTAAATTTTTTTGTGGATAAACTAGACTTGATGAAGAACATGACATAAACATTTCATCAAACAATTTCACCGGGAAGGGCCCCAAATGCCACCGTCCGGACGGAGGTCCCGGTTTGGAATTCCTGACCGGAAGAGTACTCATCATGTAATTGAGTTAGTTTAATTATTTATAGGCTGACTAATTTATAATTCAATTTAACAAATTAGTGCTATTAGTTATGTAATCAAGTAATTATATTACATGATTAAGTAAATATATTTATTATTTAAAAATCGAGAGAATTAGAAAAATGAAACGATAATTTAGATAATAATTAAATAAAGTAATTCAAGTATTTTTTTAAGTAACTTTGATATTTATATAACATAATGAGGCCATTGCTGATACGTGATGTTATAGGTGTATTATTTTTCATATTTGATGATTAATTTGTCATTGAAGAGTGCTAATTAATTTCTAAAATAGAAGTAACAAGTTTTAGCTAGGACTGTGTGAGTATTAGTTTTGAGTTTATAAATTATAATCTATAGTTCTGACTCAAATGAAATGTTTTTATATAATGAACACTTTACGTTCATTACTAAGTTGCTTTTTACATAAATTTTCAGCAATGTATTATTATCATCATCTTTAATTTATTTGTTTTATTTGTATTTATGTGGAAAAAAGAAAGCCCAACTTTTTTGTGCACTAGGCCTCCATTTTCTCCGGAACGGCCACCTGAATTTGATAAGTTTACTTTTGTCAAAGTCTAATATATTCTGGTGTGGTTAGATTTTTAGTGATTTTCCTATTTTACAAAATTAGAGTACACTGCTTTTTAGTATAGTACTTTGTACTGTTTTATTTAGGAGGCATTTGTGTCACGATTAACTCAAGAATCTCGTTAAAATTTATAGTCACTTAATTACTTATTCATAAATTAATAATGATGATGAGATACAAGTATTATATTAAGATTAATTACAAAAACAATGTTTAGAATTATTCTTATGATGTAATTTAATAGTTCCTCAACTCTGATTTAGTTGCAACAAGCTGACATTTAAATTTGCCAACACATCCTTTAATATATTTAATTTTGTATTTTAAAAAAAATTATATTTTAAAATTGTGCTTTTGAAACAAATTTAGTAATGATTTTCATGATATAATTTTAATATATACTTTAATAGATATAATATTCTCAAAATTAAATGTGTGTAGTGTGAACTAATTGTTTAAGCATAATTAGTGGCAAAAGTAAACAAGCATTTCCTCATACGTCAAAGTGTGATCTTTCGATAAAAATTGATGGATTATACTATGGATATGTTAGTATATTCACAAGTAATTTATTTTAGGATTTTCTCAAGTCCTATTGAGCTGTATACAAAAGATTTGACGCATATAGTCATAAAAATTGAACTTATGAAGTTTATACTAAAGGATGAAAAAGTATAGAGAATTATAGAAGGTTTATTATGATGTGGTACAATATGAAAAAGTATTTTTGGCCAGATAAAAATATAATGACCACGATCGTACAAACAAAACGAAACAAATAAATTGTATTTTTAAACTACAAAGTATAACTTATCATTGACTTTATATAGAAATTATATATAAACCAAACAAAAATAATTATGTTTTTTAAACATAATGGTCAAGATCGTAAAATAAACTACATAAAGAGAAATGTAAATTAAGAGCTGATTTTAATATAAAAGAGAATGGCAAATTAAGAACTGCTTTAACATAAGAAAACATGAACTAAACTTTTTATTGGGATAAGGGTCAGATAGGGCCTCAAACTTGAAAAAATGTCAAATAAGGTCATATTTAGGATGTTCTGTCCGGTCGACGCCATTTGGGGCGGTTCCTGGTAGAATTTTTTGATGATTTTTTTTAGAATCTTATTCATTAAGTCTAGTTTACTCATATCAAATTTGAACTAAAACTTCAATCGGGAAGGCATTCAAATGAGTTCTTGAAGATAACTGCTCTTTTAACTGCGCAATTATCTTCAAGAATTCATTTGTATGCCTTCCCGATTGAAGTTTTAGTTCAAATTTGATATGAGTAAACTAAACTTAATGAATAAGATTCTCAAAAAAATGCATCAAAAAATTCCACCGGGAACCGCCCCAAATGATATCGGCCGGACAGAGCATCCTAAATAATTAAATATGGTCTTATTTGACATTTTTTTCCGAGTTCGAGGCCCTATCTGACCCTTATCCCTTTTTTATTTGATTTGATTTATTACATATAAAAAAATATCACAAAAAATATGTTAGAATAATGTGAAGTAGTAATATGCGATGAGACTTGATATTTTATCCTAAAACGTATACAATGAGTAGTACTTCATTATTGTCTCATATCAGTCATGTGTGTTGACAAATACTTTAATGCACTCCTTCACTTTAAATGGGGTTCGACAATATCGTGTGTTTAAATGGCCAAATAGATCCTTAATGTGCTATTTGTAATCATGAGTGTTGAAAAATAAACAAATGAAAACAAAACCTAGCTCTGATATCATGTTGATATTTGAGGTTACATTAGAAAATGTTAACTTGGTGGAGTGGAAGCTGGAATCTTAAAAGGTGTTTTGTATTTAATATCAATCTAGTGTTTATAAAATACTTCAACAATATGTTATGATTTTCAGTCTTGGTGTATAAAATGTGTAGTTCAGAGTCATCATCATTTATTAAAGGCAATGAGAAATTATGCAATAATGAGTTGAGGAATGCAATTTCTTAATTTAGTCTTACCAGTTGACAACCATCGCTTATAATGAGAAGTTCTTAAAGTTTTAAATTCTGGCCTTCTCCCCAACCATATGATTCACATTATTTGTTGTTTATAGAGTTTTTGTAGACAATTTCATTTGCTCTTGTTTATATCTACGTCAATGTTTTGAGAATTTAGTATTATATTTAGTATTACGTTTGATGTACTGAATGAAAAAAAGTATAATCACTCCATAAATGTACGTACCGTCTATCATTTATGTTCCATAATAGTATATATTCCATTAATTTTTTGATAATATGTACTCACACATGATGATCGACAATATATCCTATATTGATAGTGAAGCTGGTCTTCACCACTTTAATAGTGAACCTATCATTGATGGTCGACAATCCTATATAGAAACGTAAGATACTTTCGGCATGTCTAGGTATTAATTACGTCAACATAGTATGAAAGCAAACATTACTTGGTTTTCACGTTAATCCCTACACGAAATTACTAATAGTAGTATTGAGTTTTCTACTTAATCCCTAAGTTTCTATTTTGACTTGGACTTTGGAGTTGGTAATCAAGTTTCAAGAGTTGTCACCATTAAAATTTAGGGAAGTTTTGGAAGTAAAGATGTTTCACTTAGATTGAAATTTCAAGTTCGAATTAGCGTGTTTAAGTCTACTTTGATAAAAGTCTTAACTACTAGTATTTTACTATTATCTTAATCCGGTATATTCTGATGTGATTACTTTACCATTGTCAATGTAATATTCTGGTCTGGTCACATTTAAGTGTTTTTCATGTTTTAGAAAACTAGAATACTTTGTTTTTTAGTATAATACTCTGTACTGTTTCATCTAGAAGACATTGTGTCACGAATAACTCGAGAATTTCATTAAAATTTAGTCACTTAATAATTTATTCATAGATTAATAAAAATATACAAGTATTATATTAAGATTGATTACAAAGTAGTGTTTAGAATTATTTTTATGATTCTTTCAAATGAAAAAAGAATTATTTTTATGTTGTTATTTAATAATTCCTCAACTCTTATTTAGTTGCAACAAACTGACATTAATATTTTTCAACACATCCTTTAATATATTTAATTTTCTATTTTTTTAAAATAAAAAAAAAATCATGTTTTCAAGTTCTACTTTTGAAACCATTTTATGATGATTTTCATGATATCATTTTAATACATTGATAGATATAATATTCTCAAAATTAAATATGTGTAGTGTACGTGCAAAGTAAAAACTTATTTTTAATAAAGAATGGATCGGAAATAATACTATTTAAGCATAATTAGTGACAAAAGTGAATAAGCATTGTCTCAAATGTCAAAACCTGGTCCTTCAATAAGGACTGATGAATTATACTATGATATTTTAGTAAATTCACAAATAATTATTTTAACATTTCACGTCCTAATGAGCTATATACAAATATTTGACGCATATATTTATAAAAATTGAAGTTATGAAGTTCATAATGATTACAAAGTACAGATGATTATAAAATGTTTATTATGATCTGGTACGATATGAGAAAAATATTTTGGGGCAGGTATAAATATAATGACTAAGATCATACAAACAAAACCAAACAAATAAACTGTGTTTTGAAAATATAATTTATCATTGACGTTATATAAAAATTATATAAGAATAAAACAAAAGTTATGTCTTTAAACATAATGGTCAAGATCGTATAATGAACTATGTAAAAGAGAAAGGTAAATTAAGAACTGGTTTTAATTTTGATATAAAAGAGTATGGAAAATTATGTACTAGGTTAATATAAGAAAACATGAAATATGCTCTTTTATTTTAATTGATTTGTTTCTATATAAGAAAAATATATCAAAGATCATGTTAGAACAGTGTGATGTAGTAATATGTGATGATACTTGATGTTCTATCCTAAAATGTATACAATGAATAGTTCAATATCTTACATAGTATGGAGTACTTAATTATTGTCTTATATCAGTCATGTGTGGTGACAAATACTTTAATGCGCCTCTTCAGTCTAAATGAGTTGGACAATACTGTGTGTGTAAATGATCAAACATATCATTAACGAGCTATTTGTAATCATGAGTGTTAGACAATAATTAAATCACGACCAAACGTAGCTCTGATATCATGTTAGTATTTGAGATTACATCATATCATGTCAATTTGGTAGAGAGAAAGCTAGAATAGTAAATGGTGTTTTATTTTTTTATATCAATACAGTGTTTTTAAAATACATCATGAATATGTTCTCCAATTAATTCTTGGTGTATAAATGTGCAGTTCAGAGTCATCATTATTTATTAAAGGCGATGAGAAGTTATGCAAGAATGAGTTGAGGAATGCAGCTTCTTATTTTAGTCTTACTGGTTGACAACCTCCACGTATAGAGAGAAGTCGTTAAGGTTTTAATTTTTGGCCTTCTCCCCACACATATGATTCACATTTATTCTTTGTTGTTTATAGAGTTTATGTAGATCATTTAATTTCCTCATGTTTATATCTACGCCAATGTTTTGAGAATTTAACATTACATTTAGTGGACTCGATGAATAAAAAGTATAGTCACTCCATATATGTAGTTTTTATCATTTATCTTTTATAAAATTATATATATTCCATTAATTTTTTTTGATAATATGTACACACAGACATACATACATACATACATGCATGCATGCATGCATGCATACATACATACATACATACATACATACATACATACATACATACATACATACATACATACATACACACACACACACACATATATGATAATATATATGATAATATTTAAGAAATCAAATTTTATAAAATGAGGATGATATGGTTATGATGTTTGCGTTTGTGTTTTATTATTACTAAATTACTCTGTATTATTGTTTTATATGCATATGTGCCAAGGCTGATTTACCAAGCAGCCCATATACGCCATGAAGCAAAACTACTAGATTGATCTAAGATTTGAAGTGATAGTCAAATCAAATAACTTCAAAGTTGTACTCATCACCAATCTTTAATGCACAATTTCCAACCTCAATCATTCTTGTACAACTTCCAACCTCAACCATTCTTGTAGCCAAAAAAGAGTATATCTCTGCATGTTTATCAAGGAGCATCCTTCTGGCTAGAATCATCCTTCTGCCTAAGATCATGTCTAGGATCAATCATTTGAGCCGATAGCATACAAATGATGATAAACATGAATAGGTACTCGATTGGAAATAGCAATTTGGTTTTAGAAGTTATATCAAAACCAGTCCTAAACACCCTTGTTGTTTCCTTGAAAGAGACTACCCAAAAAAAGCAGAAGGGATAGATTCACCTTTTTTTCTTTTGATAGAAAATGATAAAACAGACCCATGCCAAGAAGATAACAGCTGTGGAAGAAATAGGATTTAACATATTGATTTTTTTAAAAGCTTGAGATTAAAGTGGGTAAAATAAAATGCTACATAGAATGTGCAACATGTCAAAACAACTTCTTTCATCGCAATAGTAGATTTGACTGTTGGTAATTAAAGAAGGAACTTCAACCCTTGTCTCATCATGAGATTCAGATTTAGCTCATTAAGGTTTAGAGTATATCGGTATATCCTCAGAAACAATTTGGCTGGGAGAGGGGACAACCACTACACACTAGAGGGATTTTGGAGAAATTAGACAATCTCACTGGAAGAGGGGGAAACCACTATACATAAATCCTTCAAACGGTTGGTTCTGCTTTTTACCTTTCTAATCAAATTACTTTTAAAACTAAGCATTATTTAATTTTCGTCCTAGTCCCAACCAATGGCGACGCTACTAAGGGGCAACCTAGGCCCCAATCTAATCCAAATTAAAAAATGCCTTAGTTTTTAGTGTAAAAATTTTCATGTAAAAATTTTCCAAAAGTAATCTTTGTGTAGGTGATGCACACTAATTAGTAGTGCATAATTATATGTTTTTATGTTTGATTTATGTTGATTGTTTGGCTTTTTATTTAGTTTGTAAACATTTGTGTGATTTTAGTTGTAAATGTATTTTAGCTTTGATTTGTAAGTTGTAAAGTATACTTAGGATTTATGGTGCTAGAAAGGAAGACTTTGAAGTGAAGAAAAAAGGAAAATCGACTGCCCAGGAGCAAATACCCGACCGGGTATAACCCCTCACCCGGTCGGGTAAGAAGTGAGAACCGAACAAGCTAGAAAGCTGCTCAGCCCGGTCGGACCCACTACCTCACCCGGTCGGGTGAGACTTGACCGGAGGCAATCCGGCGTGCTGAAACACAAGAACGTGGGAGATTATCTGATTTTAACCGGTACCCCGGTCGGGTGAGCACCTTACCCGGTCGGGTACCCGACCAAAGGTGTTGAAAAACACCTATAAATAGCACACATTTTCTTCACTAATTTCCATCCCTTCTTCCATACTCTTAAGCTCAATTTAGAATAGTATTTCTTTATATTTTTCTAGCTATGTTTAGTCTCCAAATGAGGAGCTAAACTTCCATTTCTTGGTTTTGCTCTTGAAGCTTGTTGATAATTAAAGTTGTGAGTTATTTTCTTAACTTCTCTCCTTGAATATTAATTCTTCCCTTAATCTATTTCTATATTAATGTTGGGGAGTGTTGCTAAGATGACAATTAGTCAACATCTCAATATTAATTATTACTAGAAACGATCAACGAACCGATGGTTAATCGTTGATGGTTTCACAAGTAAGTAACTTCGGTTTATTAATGCACGGTCGTGGTTAATAAACTTAAGAGGGATTAATTTTGTTGGTTAAACCGAAACCGTTGTGTTGAGGTTATCAATCTCAAATGATTTCATCAAGGAGTTAGAAAGATTAAATGCTACTATTAAATCGGTATAAGGCGTTGTTCTGTATTTGATTAATAGTAAGGGTTAATAATGAACAGTCGTTGTTAATAACTACCCTCGATGAATTAGATATACTCCTCGATTGAGTATTCGAGAGGGGATAGGTTATAGATATAACAAGGATCGACTAAATATATCAACAAGTGGAAAGTAGCAAAGTCAAGTTCCTTTTATCTTTGAATTAAAACTCATATATGTCGTTCATCTTAGTTTTTAATTAAATTAAATCATTCAAACCCAAAACCCCCCTTTAATTACTAGTTCATAAAAAGAAAAGTATTCATTTCCCTGTGGATACGAACTCTACTACGCTATACTACGTATAAGTGTTAGTATCAAATTTATTTTGACGCACTACGACAAAGTGCTCATCAAATTTGGTGTCGTTACCGGGGAAAGGCAATAAATTTTTATTTTTATTTTATGTCAAGAAAAATCAATATATAAATATACATAAAGATTTCTATTTTTCTGAGCTTTGTTTGAGTATATGGTAAGAACCCGATCCATAAACCAACTCACCTACCAAAAAAACCCCGAAATAGAGCAAACTCTCGAGCGGTTGAAAAATAAATTCTCAAGTACCGACTCGGGAGAATCATCAAGGGCTAGTTCTCATTCAAGCGAGCCCGAAGAGCCAATAATTATGGCTCTCGAAACAAGAACATTGAGGGAGCTCACAGATCCAAACCTCAACCAACAACCGCTATGTATCACCTTCCCAAATCAGGGCTCATTCATCTACTACCTTCTTTCCACGGGCTAAGAGGAGAGGACCCGAACAAACATCTTTCGGAATTCCATATTGTTTGCACGAGCATGTGCCCGAATGGAGTCACCGAGGAGCAAATCAAGTTGAGGGCTTTTCCATTCTCCCTCAAAGACACTGCAAAGGATTGGCTTTCTATCTTCCTTCGGGAAGTATAGATACATGGGCAGCAATGAAAAAATGCTTCTTGGAGAGGTATTACCCCGCTTCCGTCTCATCATCTTTGAAAAAACAAATAAGCAACATCGAGCAAAACGATGATGAGACATTGTATGAATATTGGGAGCGTTTTAAAATTTGTGTGTTAGTTGCCCATATCATGGATACACGGAGCAAGACCTCATCATCTACTTCTATGATGGTCTTGCGGATCAAGATAGGCGCATGGTGAATGCAGCATGTGGAGGAGGGATTGTCAACAAAACCCCCTCCCAAGCTAGGAATTTCATCTCAGAGTTGGCCGAAAATTCTAGACACTACAATGGGCGGTCTTCAACCTGAAGGTTTGCCGCAGCAGAGTCCAACACATCATTGGAAAGTCAAGTAGCCGGCTTGACTTCTTTGGTAAAAGATTTTCTTTTAAAACCCAAAACCCAAGAAGTCAAGGTTTGCGGCATTTGTGCAACACAAGGGCATTCTACTGATTTATGCCCTTTACTACAAGAAGAGAACTCAAAACAAGTCAACGCCTTGGGGTTCCAAGCACAAAAGAGGTATGAACCCTACTCAAATACATACAATCCGGGGTGGAGAGATCATCCAAATTTGAGGTATGGTAATCCTCAACAACCAAATTCTTCTTCCCAACAATACTACCAACCTCCCCAAGGCCAAACTTCAAGCTCAAATATGTCCACTGAAACATGATTCGAGCACTTACCATGAGTGTATCAACGATACAACAAAGTGTGGCACAATTTCAAGAAACGACTAAATCTAGCATCCAAAATTTGGAGAACCAAATGAGCCAAATTTCAAGTGTTGTGATCCGGCTCGAGGCAAAAGACTCGGGAAATCTCCCTTCTTAAACAGATCGAAACCCAAGACAACATGTCAATGCAATCATGTTGAGGTACAGTAAGGAGTTGCAAGCAACAGAAATTGAAGAAGAGAAGGTTGAGAAAGATGAGGTTGGCCACAACGAGGAGGAGCCAACAAAGTTCAAATTCCCTCCACTTTCCTCATATGAATCACTCCCTCCATTTCTCGAGGCACTAAATGACACGAGAAAGGTGGAGAATGATCGGGACCTTTACACCTTCGTCAATTGTGAGGTAAACATCCCACTCTTCAAACTAATCAAAAGTGTTCCCCGTTATGCAAAGTTTTTAAAAGAACTATGCACCATAAAAATAAAAAATAAATTGAAGGGGAAACAAGATGTTAAGGTTAGTGAACGTGTCTCAGCAATTTTCCAGAGGAAACTCCCAAAAAAATGCAACGATCCAGGCATGTTCACTATCCCATGCAAAATAGGGGACACTTTATTTCCTAGGGCCTTGTTGGATTTAGGGGCTTCGATCAATGTTATTACATATTCGTTATAGAAGTCCCTACAACTTGGCCCAATGAATGAAACCAGTGTAGTAATCCAATTGGCGGATAGGTCTAGCACATACCCAAAGGGCGTCGTAGAGGACGTACTCGTAAAAGTTGAAAATTTGATGTTCCCTGTTGACTTCTACGCCCTTGAAATGAGAGATGACAACCAAACAACACCCATCCTTTTGGGTAGACCTTTTCTAAAAACCGCAAAAACAAAAATAGACGTGTCTAATGGTTCATTAACTTTGGAGTTCGATGACCAAAAAGTAGAATTTAATATCTTTGATTCTACGAAAAACAAATTAAAGATCATTCTCTTTGTTCTTTAAATGATTTTGAACCACAACCACCCTATGTTTTTGTTGAAAATGAAGGTGAGGAAACCCAAATTTTTGAAGAAATGAAAATTGAACAAAAATCAATTTTGAACGAATGGATGAAATCACCACATCATGAGGTAAAACCACATACTGTTGAGGTGGTAACAAGGAAGAAAATTCAACCTTACTGGAAAAGGCCGAGGAAGAAAGCTGAAATTAGGCCAAACTTGGCCTTCAATGAAACAAGGGATGTCCACGATCCAAGTTAAAACATAAAATAAAATAAAAATAACGTCGTGCCGCGACATTAAATAAGGCGCTTCTTGGGAGGCAACCCAAGTTTGTATTTTGATTACTTTTCATTTATTTGATTGTGTGTGAGTGAACATTTAAAAAAAAAGTCAGGATTAACTAATACCCGACCGGGCACCCATTACACCCGGCCGGGTATCCGTTCCAGTGGTTACAGGTTTAAATTCAACAATTGACCCGACCGGGTACCCTAACCCACCCGACCCGGTATTCCTTCTAGTGGTACTGCCATAAAAAAGCAACAAGACCCGACCGAGCGTATTACCTTACCCAGCCGGGCGGACGGGATTTTGGTGTTTACCAGGTCGGGAAGACCATCTCCCTTCCTCACTTCTTCTTCTACCTACGAACAAAACAACCCCAAGCCTCCATTTTTACACACTCAAAACTTCGAATCTCCCCCATTTCCTCACCAAATCCATCAAATAAACCCACTTTCTTCATCTCCTCACCATCCTCTTCACTTCTACACCCATAAAAACCACCCAATCATACCCACACCCAAAAGTCCGAAAATCTTCAATCACAAATACCTGAAAAATCCATTTCATGACACAAAAAAGGCAAAGAGGTTCATTCTCTTTGACATCTCTGACACAAGCACTAGGGACAGTGCTTTGATTAGCTTGGGGGAGAATTTCATGGAATACTCACATTCATACTCTATATTCTTGTATTATTTTCCAAAAAAAAAAGAAAAAATAAATAAAGAGCTAGTTAAGTTGAAAACCTGAAAGGCCAACTTAAGCAAAAATAAAGCAAAAATAAGAGTGAGTTTGTGAGGTTTAAAACAGTAAACTGTGGGAAGCTGGGATGAAAACCCGAAAGGGCACCTAGGCAAAATGAGAGAATGAGAGAATAAGAGAAAATATCTCTTTTATTTCTGCAGGATCCTAAGGGTAACAATGAAAAAATTGAGGGTGATAGGAAATATGGAGTTGAAGACCCCTCTTTACTCTTGTATTTGTGGGGATATTTTGTGTTGTTCTAAAAACACACTTGGATGTTTGTGTAAATACTCTTGTCATTTTGAGGACTTCTTGGATTGGATTTGGTTTACTCGAGACGAGTAAAGGTTCAAGTGTGGGGGTGTTTGATGCACACTAATTAGTAGTTCATAATTATATCTTTTTATGTTTTATTTATGTTGATTGTTTGACTTTTTATTTAGTTTGTAAAAATTTGTGCGATTTTAGTTGTAAATGTAATTTACCTTTGATTTGTAAGTTGTAAAGTATAGTTAGGATTTGTGGTGTTAGAAAGAAAGACTTTGAAGTGAAGAAAAAAGGAAAATTGACTGCCCAAGAGCAAATACCCGACCGGGTATAACCCCTCACCCGGTCGGGTAAGAAGTGAGAACCGAATAAGCTAGGAAGTTGCTCAGCCCGGTCGGGTCCACTACCTCACCCGGCGGGTGAGACTTGACCGGAGGCAATCTGGCGTGCTGAAACAAAAGAACGTGGGAGATTATCTGATTTTGACCGGTAACCGATCGGGTGAGCACCTTACCCGGTCGGGTACCCGGCCAAAGGTGTTGAAAAACACCTATAAATAGCACACATTTTCTTCACTAATTTCCATCCATTCTTCCATAGTCTTAAGCTCAATTTAGAATAGCATTTCTTTATATTTTTCTAGCTATGTTTAGTCTCCAAATGAGGAGCTAAACTTCCATTTCTTGGTTTTGATCTTGAAGCTTGTTGATTATTAAAGTTGTGAGTTATTTTCTTAACTTCT